ACTGAGGTGCATGAGGGTCATGCTGACATCATGATCGACTTCACCAGGTGAACCTATGACCTAGGAACCCCTCCAGGAACAAATTCTACTGCCAGCAGCCTCTGACTCTACCTGCCCCTCCCAATCCATCCACAGGTACTGGCATGGGGACAACCTTCCATTTGATGGGCCTGGGGGCATCCTCGCCCATGCCTTCTTCCCCAAGACCCACCGAGAAGGGGATGTCCACTTTGACTATGATGAAACCTGGACTATAGGAGACAATCAAGGTATGGGCTCAATACACATTTTCCAGATGGGGCAACTGGAGATCACTCAAAGAGTGTCTGAGGACCTACTAAGGACCTGAGCTTAAGTTCTGGAGCTAATGGCAGAAAATAGAGGATGACTGACCTATTTACTTCCCTTTTTCAGGCACAGACCTGCTACAGGTGGCAGCTCATGAATTTGGCCACGTGCTAGGGCTTCAACATACAACAGCAGCTAAGGCCCTGATGTCTCCTTTTTATACCTTCCGTTACCCACTGAGCCTCAGCCCAGATGACCGCAGAGGTATCCAGCATCTATATGGCAGGCCCCACGAGGCTACCACCTCCCAGGCTGCAGCTCTGGGTCCCCAGAATGGAGTAGACACCAATGAGATTGCACCATTGGAGGTGAGGCTGGAGACGGTGAGAAAACAGGAGATGCCAGACCCCTGCTGGTCTTGTTGGCTCCAGTGTGAGCTTTCTCTCTCACTCTAGCCGGAAAATCCACCAGATGCCTGTGAGGTCTCCTTTGATGCAGTCTCCACCATCCGAGGTGAGCTCTTCTTCTTCAAGGCAGGCTTTGTGTGGAGACTCCGTGGTGGCCGGCTACAGCCTGGGTACCCAGCGCTGGCCTCTCGCCACTGGCAAGGACTGCCCAACCCTGTCGATGCAGCCTTCGAAGATGCCCAAGGCCACATCTGGTTCTTCCAAGGTAAGTAGGAGTTGGAGGTCAGCTGAGGACTTCCTTGAGCCAAGAATACCACAGCTAAGGGTTGAGATAGACAAGCTCCTCTCAAGGGACACAAAGGACAGTGAGAGGGTGGCTTTCCAAGGCACAGCTGGGAATCTCCCAGAGGAGGCAGTTCTTGAGATCACAGCACTAAAGATATGGCATAGTAGGGCTGTACGTTGGTACATTTAAATCCCAAAGCTACCCCATGGGATGGAGTTTTAGAAGTTTTAGAGCTGAGGTCTCAGGCTCACAGGTGATGAAATGACTCACTGGAGGATGGCTCTTAGAAAGGGGAAAAGTGGGATTTGATTCAGGTCTGAAGACCCTGGAGATTATACTTTCAACTCTCAACTGCCAAAGCAGCATTTCAGATGCCAAGACCATACACAAAGGTGGACCATGGGAAACTTGCATATGGGTTCCAAAACATCCAGGGACCTGCTATGGCAGGGCTCAGGGCCCAAGGAGTGGGCAGCAGGTATTTGTGATGCCCAGACCAGGAACCCAGGTGGCCTTCTATAAATTAGAATCATCTTCCCATGTATTATTTTATAGAGCCTTCCTTATAGCTTATCCCAGATGACCTAAATAGGCCAGGTAAGCAAGCACTGTCAGACACAGTGTTTATAGTTAAGTAAACTGAGGCTGAGAAGAGTCCCTGGAAGTGGTGAAGGAGGTCCATTTTGACTGAGTGTGGCATGGTGGCTTAGCAGTTCCTTGTAACTTCCTCTCTTCCACAGGTTCCCAGTACTGGGTATATGATGGTGAGAAGCCAGTCCTAGGCCCTGCACCCCTCTCTGGGCTAGGCCTGGTGTGGTCCCCAGTCCACGCTGCCTTAGTCTGGGGTGCTGAGAAGAACAAGGTCTACTTTTTCCGAGGTGGGGACTATTGGCGTTTCCATCCCAGCACTCGGCGTGTGGACAGTCCTGTGCCTCGCCGGGCGACTGACTGGCGAGGGGTACCCTCTGAGATTGACGCTGCCTTCCAGGATGCTGACGGTGTGTGGGGCTGAGCGGTGGCTGGCAGAGGGTAGTGTAATAATTGGACGCATTCATATATACGTCAGGAGGCCCAGCTTTTCCTCACAGGAGTGGATGCCAGTACTATCCCCATGTTGCAGATGAAAAGACAGGGCCAGAGAAGCACAAGGGCTTGTCCAGGTCCCTCAACCATACGCAATGAGAAAATAACCGCGGCATAACAAGGGTCGCCAATGCTTTAGCCACAACACTAATGTACTTATACCTCAAAGTAGCCTTCTGACATAACATCTCTTATAAACTCAGTTTCTAGAGAGACAAACAGAGGCTCAGGCTATGAGATGCCTTACTAGGGCAACATAGGTAAACAGTGATCGAGCCCAGATTCCCATTAGACAGTCCCTGTTCCTAACCACTGAGCAACCAGCCAGGCTGGAACTCAAAGCTCAGGACTGCCTTGCCTGCCAGTATCCTCTTTTTGTATCCTTCCATGTGGTACTCTCTGGGAGCGCAATCTGGAAGTAGCTTGGAGCTTTGGCACTCTAGGAAGTCTTTGTGGTATGGTTGGTGAGATTGAAAGTAGAGTGATGAGGAAGTTGATGAGGGAACAGAACATGCTTTCCTGAGAGGTAGGAATTGAGCTAAGGCTCTAGATACCTCTAGACTAGACCCTGGTACAGGACGAGACCCTGGAAGGGCTCCTAGGAAGGAAAGGAGGTTTTGGAAGGGCAACCTTGGAGCTTCAGCAGTGGGAAGTCAAGGCCTTCCCATCCAACCCTCCCCCCATGCCTGTCCCTGGCCACAGCCAGCCAGGCAGGTACAGAACCCAGTGTCTACTTGCCCAGGTCTTATCTTCTTCTCTTTTCAGGCTATGCCTACTTCCTGCGTGGCCGCCTGTACTGGAAGTTTGACCCCGTGAAGGTGAAGGCTCTGGAGGGCTTCCCTCGCCTTGTGGGCCCTGACTTCTTTGGCTGTGCTGAGCCTGCCAACACGTTCCGCTGACTGTGGCTTGAATGCCCTCAGGATAACTGACCCACAGCCATCTTTATGGCTCTGGACACCAGATATGAGTCAGAGCCTGTGTTTCCTCAGTTGGGGTGGGCTGGGGGGGGGGGTAACCACCATGACAACTGTGGGGAGGGCCACGCAGGTCGTGGTCTCCTGCTGGCAAGTGTCTCAGACCAGACAGGGAAGCTTTGGAGTTACTGAAGTGTGAAGGAGGTGTCAGTCTGGCTTTGCCATACCTTTGTAGGTCATGGTCAAACCTAGCTTCTCAAGGCCTCCATCTCTGGCCCTCAGAGATGGGTGAACTACAGCATCTGATCTTCTCTCTATTCCTGCTGTACGGTTCCTGCAGAGTATTAGTGTTGGAGCTTGTATGTAAGGTATACCTTGGCCTTCTGCTCTAACCAAGCAAGGCCCTTTCCTGAGAAGTCAGATATGGGTAGATGTTTAGATCTGGCTCTCTTCTAGCTGGTGATCCTAGAGATCTATTTCTCAGGATGTATGCCAAAAGGCCTACAACCAGCTAGGGAAGGCTCTGTTTCAACATAGAAACCCTTACCTTCAGAGGCCCCAACATACCTCAATCCTGTCCTGGGCCTGGGCCTCCTGAAGCCCTTATCCTAGCACTGGTGTCTTCCAAAGCCATGTAAATGTGTGTACAGTGTACAAAGATTTTTTTTTAAAAAAATACAAACAACCCTGAGGACTGTCATTAAATATGATTGTTTTCTAAGTGCCTGCCTGGTGTCTCTTGTAACTGCAGCAAGGATGAGGAGGCCTGGTTCCTGTTAGCCCAAGCCTAACATGGAAGCCAGGGTCAAAGTTCACTTTCCAAATACTTAGGGCTCCTTCTTTTCATTTTCTATCATATCTGGAGGAACATCTAACAAAGTGGTGGCAGTTTCATTTGGTCATGCCATGCCCTATCTCCTATCTTAAAATACTTCACTTTCCACTGCTATGAAAACACAGAACAAAATTCATGGTTACTGCTGTTCTTCACGATCATCTAGCATCAACTTGCACTGTCTTCTAGGTCCTCATATCTTTTTCGTAATAGCAATTGTTGAACCTTAGAAAATCATCAACAGGGGCTGGGAAGGTGGCTCAGTGGTAGAGTGCTTGCCTTGCATGTATGAGGCCCTGGGTTCGACTCTCAGCACCAACATAAGAAAAAAGAAAAAAGCCGGAAGTGGCGCTGTGGCTCAAATGGTAGAGTGCTAGCCTTGAGCTGAAGAGCTGAGGGACAGCGCCCAGGCCCAGAGTTCAGGCCCCACGACCGGACCCAAAAAAAAAAAAAAAAAGAAAAGAAAAAAGAAAATCATCAACAGATGCTGGATTGGTTGGACATTTTCCTTAGTGTTGGGCCCTCCTCCCCACCTCAGATCCACAGGTGGGATGGGACAGAGCCACAGGGCAGGGCTACGCTTGTTGCAGACACAAAATGCAAAGCTAAGGAAGAAAAGGAAAAGGAGTCCCTCCTCTCTAGCACTCCTCTGATGCACTAGCCACGCCAAATACTACCTGGCCTTTGAATATTACTAAATACCAAAGTCTTTGCCCAAGCTACCCTCATTCAGTGTTAACATGCTGCCCACAGCCTCAGGAACAGCTATTGGCCCGGAACTGGGATTTTTTTTTTTTCCTAGAAGTATTCTTATCTGTTCAACTGCACTGCTTTGAGGGGTGGAGAAAATGGGATGTCAATTTCGGGTCACAAACATGCTCAAAGCTCTCAGGGTCCCAAATGTAGCTCTGACCCCCGCCAGGCCTGAGGCCACACTTCCTTTCTTCAACCTTGGGCAGAATGCCAGTTCTGGCTGTGAGACTGAGAAAACCACCGCCTGAGTCCAGTCCGCAGTGGCTATTTCTGTCCGTGAGAAGCTTTCCCGGGCATCAGATTGAAGCAACAGCTTCTGGTGGAAGAGAAATTGGTCGTGGTTCCTTTAAGGGACCCACGGGAACGTGCGGGCCTTTTGTTTGGGCGGCGGCAGAGGCGCGCGCGTTAGCGTCAACATCCGCGCATGCGCAGTCTGGACGGCCTGGTCGTCGTTTGCGGCGGCAGCTGAAGATCCCGGTGGTGGCGCGAGCTCCGGCCCGGCCCGCCCTTCGTCTCTTGACCTCGGTTCCCTCACTCCGGCGCGCCTCAGCCCCGCCCCAGCCTTCTTAAATCCCTCAGCAGTTCGGATCCGGCCGCCCGCCTCCGCCGCCACAATGATGATGATGGCACTGAGCAAGACCTTCGGGCAGAAGCCCGTGAAGTTCCAGCTGGAGGACGACGGCGAATTCTACATGATCGGCTCCGAGGTAGCCCCGCGGCGCGTTCTCGCCCTCCCGGGCCCGGCCCCGCGGGAGCCCCAGGGCGGGTCTGTGCGCCGGGAGCGCGCGTCCCCATTCATCGCCAGGGCGGCGGCGGCGGCGGGCGGGCGCGTGCGTGCTCGGGGCTGGGGGCGTGGCCAGATGGGCGTGGCCGAGCTCGACCCTACCTGGAAGGTCTGAGTTCAGTGCATTTCTCGGTGACGGGGATACCAGGGCCTGGCGTGCTACTGGTCTCTCGTTGAGTTGGTCTAACTCCACCCGGATGCAAAGAATGGGAGTGTTCGGTTAGCTCTTGTGGCGGTGCTTGGGAGTGGAGATGCACTACTAACTACTGCCCTCGAAAATTTTAGAGATGGTGGAAATCTCATGTGCACCCTTTACCCCTTTGCTCCATTCAGGGTCCTGAAATCTTGGTTGTAAGCCTTCAGCTTAGGAAAGTTCCCTCCTCTTTGTATTCCTTGCCTTTGAGACGGGTGGTAGAAGTAGTGTTCTGACCTTTGTTTACTGGAAGTTATTGAGTCTGCTGGCTGACTGACTTCAGGAAAACCCTACATCTGGCCCCTCAATGAGGCATTTGTACTGAGTGTATTAAATTTTTACAGATCCACTCAAACTAGTCCTTGTTTAGTCCAACAGTAGCCCCCTACTAGTTCATATTTCTTTTAAAACACACACACAGACACAGACACACACACACACAGACACACACACACACACAGACACACACACACACACACACACACACACAAACCCCTGTGGGTAAAGCCAGGAGCTGTGGGTTGTGCCTGTAACCCTAACTCCTCAGGAAGTTGAGATCTGAGCATCACAATTTGAAGCCAGCCTAAGCAGGAAAGTCCATGAGCCTTCTTCAGTTCGCCACCGAAAAACTACAAGTGGACTTATGACCCAGTTGGTAGTGTGCCAGCCTTGGGTGAAAAAGCTGAGGGACAGAACCCAGGCCCTGTCCAAGCTCTACTTCCAATCCACACACAACTATGGGTATAAAATTCAGATGTGCAAATGTCAATAAAATAATCAGGTAAAATTAAATACCAGCTCTGTAGAGCTAAAGCCATTTCAGAATGCCAAAGATTACCTCTCCTCTCAACAGTGTTTATACTGCAACATTTCATTCAAATTATTATTTTGGCAGTATTAGATTTAGGTACTCAAGGCTCCATGCTTACCTACTAGGCTGGCTCTCTACCACGTGAGCTACACCACTAGCCCTGCTTTTTGTTAGCTATTTTGGAGGTGAAGTCTAGGGAACTTTTTCCCCTAAAATAGTGTTGAATCTTCCTCCTCCATATTTCAGCCTCCTGAGTAGTTAGGTTTACAGATGTGAGCCATTGGCACTTGTCTAATTTTTTTTTTTTTTTTTGTCAGTCGTGGGGCTTGAACTCTGGGCCTGGGCGCTGTCCCTCAGCTCTTCAGCTCAAGGCGAACGCTCTACCACTTGAGCTACAGCGCCACTTCCAGTTTTCTGGCGGTTTATTGGAGATAGGAGTCTCACCGTGTCTCCTGCCCGGGCTGGCTTTGAACCGCGATCCTCAGATCTCAGCCTCCTGAGTAGCTAGGATTACAGGCGTGAGCCACCAGCGCCCGGCTTGTCTAATTTTTTTAAACAATTGAACATAGTGTAATGAATGAAGCCTCGTGTTATTAAGAGACCACCATTGAACTTTGTTTTTTCTTTTCTTTCTCTCTCTCTCTTTCTTCTTTCGTTCTTTCCTTGTGCCAGAACTGGGATTTAATCTCAAGGCCTCATGTCCTAATTTAGGTTTTTGTTGTTGTTTGTTTGCTTTTTGCCAGTTTTGGGGCTTGAACTCAGGGCTTGGGCACTGACCCTACCACTTGAGCCACAGCACCACTTCCAGCTTTTTTGAGTAGTTTATTCAAGATAATAGCTTACTAGGACTTTTCTGCCCAGGCTGGCTTCGAACTTCAATCCTCAGATCTAAGCCTTCTGAGTAGCTAGGATTACAGGTGTAAGCCACCAGTGTCCGACTTAACTTAGTTTTTTTGATCAAGTTTGGAGCCCTACTACTTGAGCTACATCTCCCCTTCTGGCTTTTTGGCGGTTTATTGGAGGTAAGAGTCTTAGTTTCTTGCCCAGACTGACTTCAAACCAAAATCCTTAGATCTCAGCTCCCTGAGTAGCTAGAATTACAAATCTAAGCCATTGGCACCCTGCTAGATCAAAACTTTAATGTTTTAATTTTCACCATTTTTTAATTAAAGAAGAGGGGCTGGGAAGGTGGCTCAGTGGTAGAGCGCTTGCCTTGCATGCCTGAGGCCCTGGGTTCGATTCCTCAGCTCCACATAAGAAAAAAGAAAAAAGCCGGAAGTGACACTGTGGCTCAAGTGGTAGGGCACTAGCCTTGAGCTTAAGAGCTGAGGGACAGCGCCCAGGCCCAGAGTTCAGGCCCCATGACTGGACCCCCCCCCCCCCCCAAAAAAAAAAAAAAGAAAAGAAAAGACAAAATGCAATAAGCTGATCAGATTGTCACTTAAATGCTCTTGTTCTAATAATGCGGTGCTGAATACAGCCCATTCCTGTACATAGTCCTTGCTGGCCAGTAGGCATCTGCTTAAATGCCAAATGCAAAAGGCAGTTGAGTTACAGAACCTTGATACGTAGCTAGTTGTATCTTAAAGAAACCTTTACCTGATCTGCTGAGTGAAAAAATAATCTGTTTGGCCTTGGTTCTGACTGAGTGGTATTTCTGAAAAGAAAACTTTTCTTTGTTTGGTGGAGTAATTGAGAAACAGCTTGTGGTTAGGTGGGAAGAACTTCAGGAGGCTTAGTTACTACCCTGCTCTGTTTCCCCCACCCCTCGCTTTCTTTTTAGTGCTGGAACTCAGCCCAGGGGCCTTGCATATGCTATGCACATGCTCTACCCCTGAGCTATCCCAGTTTGTTTCATTTTCCCATGTGTAAAGTGAGATACGTAGACTCTGTGATACCTCAATACCTTCCCCCAAACACATTTTAGGTTTTAGAAAGTGAACTAAAGTCTTTTCTTTCTGCTCTTTCACTTTTGACCCTCCTGTTGAATGATGACAATCATCCTAAGATGCAGAGATCTGGCTTAATAATCACAAGTTTAAGGAAAGGCTCAAAGTCTTTGCACTATTTCTACCCAGTTGTTCCTGTGGCAATCTTGGATGTGGATGGCTGGCCCTTGGCCTCTTTCCCCTTGGAGAATAGATACTATATTCAGACAGGTGAGCCAGCTTTAGCAACATACAGTTTAGCATACATGAAGCTGCCTTGGGAGGCCCTCTGCTGTTGCTATGAGTATGCATCACAGTTCTACCATCTTTTTTTTTTTTGGGGGGGGGTCCAGTCATGGGGCCTGAACTCTGGGCCTGGGCACTGTTCCTCAGCTCTTCAGCTCAAGGCTAGCGCTCTACCACCTGAGCCACAGCGCCACTTCCGGCTTTTTTCTTTTGCTTATGTAGTGCTGAGGAATTGAACCCAGGGCCTCAAGCATGCAAGGCAAGCTCTCTACCACTGAGCCACCTTCCCAGTCCCTTCAGTTCTACCATCTTTAAGCAGTTCAACGTAGCAAGCCAGAGTCACAGAGGTTTTAGTACCCTAAGAAATGTCAGAGTCCAACATTTTCATTTTACATTCAGGAAACCTAAATGGGAGAGGGTAAAGGCTGGTTCAGGAAAAGCCAGGTAGATAAGCCTCAGCCCTTGGGAGGAGTCAAGGTTTCATGAGCCCTGCAGAATCTTCAAGGTAGTCATAAAGATCAGGTTTGTCAGTTTCTTTAAAAACAAAAAACTATCCAGGCACAAAGTGGCGCACACCTGTAATCTTAGCAACTCAGGAGGCTAATATCTGAGGATCTCCATTTAAAGCTATCCAGGACAAGAAAGTCTGTGAGACTCATCTCCAATTAACTAGCAAAAAGCTACAAAAAAGTAGAGATGTAGTTCAAGTGGTAGAGTGTCAGCTTTAAGCAAAAAAGCTCAGGGACATTGCCCAGGCCTTATTTTAGGCTCAGTACCAACAGTCAATGGCAAGAAAAATAAAGAAAATTACTTTTACATTGGATGATAATGACTCACAAAGCCACAAAGCAGTGAGGGATTTTGACTGTCTGTATGGCAGATGATTCTTCTCTTATGGTATTCAGCAGCTGTGGTTGTTGAGCATAGAAATTGTTCCTCAATGAAAAATGAAGAAACATACTTGTATGTAACCAATATGATGTGCTAGCTATGTAAAATAGAAAAATAATAGAATTGATCCTTTGAATGGTGAAGTTCAGAGTCACTGACTATATGACCCAGAAAAACGAAGTGATTCCAGGTCACAGAGGGAGCCAGCACCTGGCACCCCATCTGCTGGTGTCCCCCACAGTTTGACTCTGAAGTGTGGTCATTTCTGAAAAATCAATGAGTCCATGGGGTGTCTTTATAAGAACCTTAGTACGAACTTCATTTTTATGGAGAAAGTCATAACTCTTTATTTGGTACAAACCAACTGAAGCTATTGTTTGGGGAAGTAATGATTTATAAGGCTGTCTGGTGATTACCAATAAGTGCTTTTTAGACTCTTTGGAAAATTCCTTTGGTATCCCCAATTTGAGTTTTGTTACTAAACAAAGCAGCACGGGACATGGGGAGAATTATCTTACATCTGTCTAAAATTAGAAGACCTTTTTGGTGTTTATTACATCGTAAAAATATCAAAGTCTGCTTCTTAAGATAAAAGAAGGTCAAAGAAGCCTTGCATTTCTGGAAAGTGCCAAAGATCCTTAATCCAAAAATCAAAATCATCATGAGCTTCTTGCTCAGCTCTGGGGGAATCTTGCTAAGCTCTTCAGACATCTGGTCAGGCCTTTTGGAACGTGGTTCTTTTGTCAGGGTGGACAGATGCAGGCCAGATGTGCACTGTTTTTGAACCCTTGATGTCAGCAAGAATGTGTTTTATTGCTGCTGAAAGCCTGGCGCCAGGGGGCCACCCGAAGACCTGTTTATCAGACACTGATCCAGCAGATCTTCTGCTCACCAGGACCCTCCCCTTGCACGTGCAGATATGACTCTCATAATGAGCCTTCTTGCTTTACTCATAGGTGGGAAACTACCTCCGTATGTTCCGAGGTTCTCTGTACAAGAGATACCCTTCACTGTGGAGGCGACTAGCCACTGTGGAAGAGAGGAAGAAAATAGTTGCATCGTCACATGGTAAAAAAACAAAACCTAACACTAAGGGTGCGTCTTCACGAGGGTTTGTAAACCTGTTTCAAAACCACTCGCTTATGTCATGAAGATAAAACGTTTTCACTCCAGTGTCTTCACTGCAGCTTTGGCCTTAGTTAGCCAGGAGCATCCCAGGGGCAGGACCTGCCAGTGCACGTCTGGCTCAGGTGAGAGTGTGGCTTAGCGAGCCATTGGTGGTGCACTATCAGATATTCCTGATGGGGCCAGTGGGTGTGTGAGGAGGGGTCAAGGCTGGGGCTAGCAGGTGCCGTGAAGACATGTTGGTCTCAAAACGTTTTAGGAATGCTGTGATGCTCTGCCATTTGCTGTGGGCGTGTCACCATAGTCATTCTCCATGTAGCCCTGGGGGTGGGTGGTGGCCCCAGCCCCACCATTCCCCTCTGGGACTTTCACTGCTTGTCTCCCAGAGCCCATCCATCCATAGCTCTTCATCCTGCATCCAGTATGCTAAGCTCCGGTGCAGGCAGCCCCACCCACCATGGTTTATCATGTGCCTGGGGCTTGCTAGGTGAGCTGCCTAACATGAGTGAAGCTAGTGTGCTTTGGCCATGGCAGCTCTGTGCAGGGCGAAGTTGCTCTTTAGACATTCTGAGGGAGCCATCGGGAGACATGTCCACCAGGACATTTGAGTATAGATGCAACATACCATTTGGCAAGTGGCAAAACTGCTTCCCCCTTGGCAATGATGCCTTAGAGAAAGCTGCCCTGGGCCTATGTGGGTGTGTTCATGTGTATAGGTGGGTGTGTGCATGTATGTGTATAGTGCTTTATAGTCTGTCCTGTTGAGTTGTGACTGTAGGTGCTACTGTGGTTTTGTCCATCATGAGCAAAGTAGGATATTCTTTTAATGCAGGAGCCAGAGCTGTTTTAATCTGCCTTTATTACATTTCTACTCACTGGCCTATATCAGTTTCCTTTGTGCTCCCCTCACTGCTCATAGAACACCAGTCACTAGTACAGTGGCTCCCTAGCTTTACCTGCCCCCTACCCAAGTCCCTGTGGAGTCTTGGTGGTGCTTCTACCTTGTACTGAGTGATTCTTCTGGGAAGGAAGAAAAAACAAGCTTGGCCTACAGACAAGTAACGGCTCTTGATCAAGGTTTCCTAGAAGAGCTAGGAAAGAGCTAGCTTAAAATCTGTCCTGCTTTCCAGACAACATCTCCACATTGGCTTGGGGACAGAAACTTCTGTTTGGTGAAAAGCGCTCTAGGCTCTTGTTTTAAAAGAAAAGCATTCTTCCATCTTTCATTCTATTTCCCATTCCATTTCCCCACCTTGCTTCATGTCGTGGATTGTGGTGGTATCAGACCTCTTCCCACTGGGGTGTTATTCTGGAGTCTTCCTGACAGCCTCTGATACTGCAGATGTCTTTAGCACTTCATCTGCCCCTGAGCCAGTGCTCACAGGCCAATTAGTCAAATCAATCCAAAGGGATAAATTTTACCCAATACAAATAAACCCCTTGATCAAGATTGCCTTTTTTGCCGGGGGGAGGGGGTGAGTCTAGCACTGGTGACCCACACAATCCTAGCTATTCAGGAGGCTGAGATCTGAGGATTACCATTCGAAAACAGCCCAGACAGGAAAGGCAATGAGATCTCCAATTAACCAGAAAAAAGTTGGAAGTGGAGGTGTGGCTCACGTGGAAAAATGCTAGCTTTGAGAGCAACTCAGAGACAGTGCCCAGGCCCTAAGTTCTAGCTCTAGTACTGGCACACAGATAAACAAAACAAAAGGCAGATTGCCCTTTTGGAAGAGGCTAACATTCAGCAACAGTAAGTTTGACACTTTGCCTGAGAACTTCAGTGTGCTATATCCAATTGGCTGGCTGCTGTTTGCTCCTGTCATCAGCAGAGTGACCACAGCAGTCTCTCTCTGCTTACAGATCATGGGTATACCACCCTTGCCACCAGCGTGACTCTGTTGAAAGCCTCGGAGGTGGAGGAGATTCTGGATGGTAATGATGAGAAGTATAAGGCTGTATCCATCAGTACAGAGCCCCCTACCTACCTCAGGTAATGAATTCCTGGACCTGGGTTCTTCTGGGACACTCATGGGGATTTTTCTCATATTCAAACACAGGTTGAAGTGAAGTTGAACTGAAATACCTTCCAACACTTTACTCACAGTGCTTACAATTGTCTTAGCCAGGTTTCTAAGTTCCTTCTATATCTTTAGAATCCCTAAGAAATAAACAGAGGCCAAGTGTTGAATTGGATCTGGAGAGCAGTTAGGAATGCTTTGAAAGTGCCCTTTGTCAGAAAAATGAGTGACCTCAGATGAACTGAAAAAACGAAACAAGCAGTAGATTTAAACATAGAAAAAAACTTAGTACCTTTAAAAGAGTACTTATAACATCAAAATGGCAAATCAATGGAAATTTACTGTGTTGTAATCTAGAGTCTAGTCATCTAGATGTTGTGTGTGTGTATGTATGTATGTGTGCGCATGTGTGTGCGCACACAATTTAGGTCTTGGTCCTATCCCTTAACCTTTTCACTCTAAGCTGGAACTATAAGGGTCACATCTTAGTCCATTGAAGTGTCTACACCTTCTAACACCTGACCTTTTCTTGAAAGTAGACACTCAATAGCTCCATATTCTCTTTTATTATTATTCACAACCCTCCAAGAACATCTCTGTACATATAATGGTTTTACTTATTTTGTATTTACACTGCTATGCATTCAGATTTGTAAGAAAAATTTGGCTATTTCTTTCTTTTCTTTTTTTTTTTTCCCTCTGATCAGTTGTGGAGCTTGAACTGAGGGCCTAAGTGTTGTCCCTGAGCTTTTTCAGAAACTCAAGGCTAGCTCTCTACCACTTGAGCTATAGCATCACTTCCAGTTTTCTAGTGGTTTGTTGGAGATAAGAGTCTTACAGACTTTATTGCCTGGGCTAGCTTTCAACAACGATCCTCAGATCTCAGCCTTCTGAATAGCTAGGATTATAGGCTGGTGCCCAACAAAAAATACTTGGATTTTTCAACAGGTTTTTTTCATTCCTTTTGTTTTAAGTGGAGCTGGGAATTGAATCCAGGGCTTTATGAGCACATGCTATTTTTTCAGTCCTCAATGTGTAAAAAAGTAGATGATCTACTCCCAGAAATATAATAAGGAAGGATATTTCTTACATATAATCTCATTTTATTTGGTTTTACTTTTGGGATACTGAAGATTGAGCTCAGGGCTTCATGCATGTTATTGTGCTAGACCACTAAGCTACACCCCAGTTCCTTGTATAATTTAAAAAATTCATCCAGGAACTGGTGGCTCACACCTGTAATCCTGGCTACTCAGGAGGCTGAGAGCTGAGGTTTGCAGTTTGAAGACAGCTGGGGCAGGAAAGACTATGAGACTCTTACCTCCTATTAACTACCCAAAAAGCCTGAAATGAAGTTGTAGTTCCAGTAGTAGAGCATAAAAGCTCAGGGATGGGGAAAAAAGAAAAACATCATGGTTAAAGGAAGAAAACCAAAAACCTATCCACATAAGGAAGTAAGGATGCTGTAATAAAACTGGCACACTTGTCTGCTAGAGATGACTCTGTACATAGAAGTGATCTTTTTGTAAAATATTCGAATACCAAACAATTGCTGACCCATTAATTTCACCCCTGGGAATTTTTCTCAAAGAAATAATTTGAAAACACAAAATAAGTAAAAACGATTATATATACATAGATGTTCTTTAGAGGGTTGTGAATAATACTGAAAGGGAATATGGAGCTGTTGAATGTCTACTGTTAAGGAAAAGTCAAGTGTTAGAAGATACAGACACTTAAATGGACTAAGATGTGACCTTTCATGTCAGCATCAGGTAGACTGCAGCATCTGAGCCATGGCTCATGTGAATGTAGCATGTAGAATATAAGACATGCCTATGGGGCTGGGAAGGTGGCTCAGTGGTAGAGCACTTGCCTTGCATGCTCGAGGCCCTGGGTTCGATTCCTCAGCACCACATAAGAAAAAAGCCGGAAGTGGCGCTGTGGCTCAAGTGGTAGAGCGCTAGCCTTGAGCTGAAGAGCTGAGGGACAGTGCCCAGGCCCAGAGTTCAGGCCCCACGACTGGACTACCCCCCCCCAAAAAAAAAACAAAAGACATGCCTATCTACCTTACTCTTTGAGCCCTCAAGAAAAAATACATTTCTAAAATTAAGCTTAGCTGGGCGCTGGTGGCTCACGCCTGTAATCCTTGCTACTCAGGAGGCTGAGATCTGAGGATCGCAGTTCAAAGCCAGCCCTGGCAGGAGAGACCGTAAGACTCCTATCTCCAATAAACCACCAGAAAACCAGAAGTGGCGCTGTAGCTCAAGTAGTAGAGTGCTCGCCTTGAGCTGAAGAGCTGAGGGACAGTGCCCAGGTCCAGAGTTCAAGCCCCATGACCGACCAAAAAAAAAACAAAAAAACTAAGCTTAGAACCTGTTTGTTGCCTGTGGCTTATACCTGTGATCCTAAGCTACTCAGGAGGCTGAGATTTGAGGATCATGGTTCCAAGCCAGCTGGGGCTTATCTCCAATTAAACTGCAAAAAGCTGAGATATGGCTCAAGTGATAGAGTGCCAGCCTTGCAAAAAAGCCAAACAAGAGTTTGAGGCCCTGAGTTCAAACCCCATTACTGCATAAATAAAACCAGGCATTGGTTACATTTTTGTAATCCCAGCACTTGGGAGGTTGAGGCAGAAGAATTTTGAGTTCATGGACAGTGTTGGATAAATAATGAGACCTTGTGTCAAAAACAGAAAAAAAATACATTCCCATAAACATAAGCTAGGGAGCACTAAGAGGTGGGGATTATTATTCAAAGTGATGTTTTCCAGGTTTTCTCTCAACTTTGCTGTCAAATCATTTTTCTAATTCTTCATCAAGTAAGGTGGCATGCATCCAGCCTAGCCAGTGTTGTAGACGTGTGCTCGGCAGATTCTTACTCTCCCAAGGGATGTGGTGAGAACATAAAGATGGCTAGACTTGCCCGGGAAGTCACAGAAGGAAATTGTATACATATGGACGGCACTTTTAAGTTGGCGTGTGTCAGCTGAGAGCCTTTTATAGGGTGGTAAACAATTTTTTAATGATCATGTCATATGAAGATCAGCTGAGAGAGTACAGTCTTGTTACCCTGGAGGTCAGGACAACGGAGTTCAGAGTGGTTCAAGGGAAGCATCTTTGGCTGGCTTAGTCAATCTGTAAATGGGCCAGTTAGCCTCCTCACCCAATCACTGGATTGTTTGAGCACAGGCTGGATATACCTTTTGGGATTCTTGGAAAGAGCTTGTAGTGTGAGCTGGATTTGATGTTGTGACTTAGATGTTTGTGTTCTGTATATGTCTCAGTCTGTGATTTATATTTATTGTCTGTGGTCTGTGACAACTAGCATGGTCTTCTTGAGCTGGCTACCAGATGAGGGGCTGGACATAGAAATGACAGAGATAAGGTCAAATTGAGGGTAAGAGGTAGGAGCTCAGCTCAGGAGCTAGGAAGATACCTATCTAGCAAAATAGAAGTGATCACAGCCTGGCTACACTGGAACTTTTAATGGAAGAGTCAAAAAAAATTCATATTGCTGGTCCCTTCACTAGAGATGGGGATGGGATTGGGGCTCAGGAATTTGCTACTTAATTTGGTGCTAGTACTGGGACTTGAACTTAGGGCTTGGGTCCTGTCCCTTAGCTTTTTTGCTCAAGGCTGATGCTCTACCACTTGAGCCATAGCTCCAGTTCTGTATATTTTTTGCTAGCTAATTGGAGTTTCAGATATTTCACTGCTTGGCTGACTTTGAACCAAGATTCTCAGATCTTAGCCTCCTGAGAAGCTAGTGTTATAGACATAGGCTACTAGTGCCTTTACCTTTTTTTGTTTCAAAAGCTGGGGCACTGACACCTTCAGTGCTCAAGTCTGAAATTCTAACCAGAATATGGGTAGAGATAGGGAGGGATTCATGGTGCTCAGTTTGACCAGGACTATGGCAAATCTTCTGTATTGCTGTCTTACTCTGATCTTTTATCAGCCTTCATCTTATACTTGAGTCCTGAAACATAAATGGAAGGTAGAACTAATTTTCACAGGACCTTAAAAGCTGGGACAGCATGACCAGGGACACTCCTTTTTTAGCCTACCTCCCCCAAAAAAGAAAAAGAGGTAAAGGGCACAGGCCCAGACAGGTTTTGGTTACCACCTCTCCCCTCTCCCCACCCCATTCATGGATAGGAGTAAGGCCCTCATGCTGCATCCCCAAGTCCCTTCTTAAGGGTACTGTCAAACGCTTGTTCTAACCATATAGACAGTTATTGTAGGAGCAATTTGTGCAGATAGTGGGGAATATGGGTGTTCACTGGTACTGGGGCTTAAACTCAGGGCCTTTTCACTTATGGCAAGTGCTCTATCACTTGAGCCATGGCTGTACTTCCAGCTTATTGCTGGTTAATTGGAGTTAAGAGTCTCCCAGACTTCTTACCCAGGCTGGCTTTGAATCATGATCCTCAGATCTCATCCTCCTGAGTAGCTAGGATTATAAGTATGAGCCAGTACCTGGCTTGTGGGGATAAAGATGTGCCAGGTGCTGGTGCCTTATGCCTATAATCTTAGCTGCTCAGGAGGCTGAGATCTGAAAATCTACGTTCAAAGCCCATCGGGGACAAACAAATTCTAGCGACTCATCTCCAACTAACCAGCAAAAAGCCAGAAACAGATATGGTTCATGTGTTATAACATCAGCCTTGAGCAAAAAAGCAAGGGAGACCATGAGGCCCAGGATTCAAGCCCTGTAGTGGGCACAAAGAAATAAATAAAAATAAAGATGAACAATACGTAAGTACTGCTTTCTTTGTAGCTTACAGTTAAGAAAAAGCCACAAAGCACTGTGGGAGCCTGACTGGTCTCATCTGTCTAACTCAGCAGTGAAACTTCAGTGTAAAAATAGCTTTGAGAAAAGCAGCCTAAAATTTGGAGAAAAGACCATTATGGGACAGAGGTTATTTAAATTACTTGGGGTGACATTTTCTGGAAGATATTTGCCAGTCCATTTTCTTACCTCTGCACCTGTGGGTGGTCAGATGCCAGAAACCTTGCCTAGTCCATCTTAGAATGGTTGACACACCTAAAAATCACAGTCTTTTGGGTGTGGTAGTTCATATTTGTAGTCCCAGCTACTTTGAAGGCCAAGATGGGAAAATCACTTGAGCTCATAAGTTCAGGGCCAACTAGGGCAATATAAGGAGACCCTGTCTCAAACAAAAATCATCAGTCTGATCACATCTCTTTTCTCTGGAAGCTTCCAACCACCTGCTAGATAAAGTCAGATTTTCATAGAGCCTGGGAGACCCTGTGAGTAGGAAATGCTCTTTCTTGCTCTTCACCCCTCCTTGGAGTATTCATGGCACTCTTCTCCCTACTATTCCTGTGCCTTGCCTAGATACCCAGTGAACCCTGACTCTGTATAAGGCTCCTTTCTAGTTTCCACCCCTCTAGGAAGCCTCTCTCATGTCCCTTCCTTTCATTAAGGATACACTTCTATGTGAGCCATGCCTAGCAGTGTACCATGGTTATAGGTTAGTGGCCAACTCATGGTTTGGGCCTTGTCTAGCACCCTCCTCACCATTCCCCTTGTCCAGGTACTTCTAGGTGCTGTGAGGCACGGGAAACAGTGCTCTACAGACTCAGGCATGCACAGATATCTTCCATAGCAGCTTGGAGCTCAGCAGGGTTGAAGCAGACATCCACAAATCCTACTGGATGGAATTGAACTCCTTCATTTGATGGGGTATGTTTCTAATGTCTCCCCAGGGAACAGAAAGCCAAAAGGAACAGCCAGTGGGTGCCGACGCTGCCTAACAGCTCCCATCATCTGGATGCTGTGCCGTGTTCCACTACTATCAACAGGAACCGGATGGGCCGGGACAAGAAGAGAACCTTTCCCCTGTGGTGAGTGTTACCTCACTTGGCCTCTGGGTAGATTCTGCCTCCATCGTACCTCCATTCTTCCCTTTTTTCTTTTCCCAGAGGCACACTCAGGAAAGCCTTGCACTGCTTTGCCTGTTGTACTGATGGCTGTCTCCGCTTTGGTTTCTCACATTCTTCTCCTCACTTCTCTCGTACCCCAGTGGAGCTTGTGGGGACCCAGTCCTGAGAGGCCTTTTCTCCACCCTCTATTGCTTCAGCTAGCCATAGCCAATCTGGGAGGTTTCAAGTTCTTAATGGGACTTCTGCTGGGTCACTTCTTAGTGGCTACTCGAACAAGTCACTACAAACTGGTGGGGTGGTGGGAATGTAAAAGATGACTAGTATACCAAAACTTACTGCCTCTTACAGAAGCCTAGATTTATTCTTTCACAGTTCTGGTGCTAGGAGTCTGAGAGCTGCTTAACTGGACCTGAATCAAGGTGTGGGCAGAACTCTATTCCTCTCAAGGCTCCAGAGGAAAATCTTGGTCCTGATCCTCTTGCAGTTTTGGTGCCTTCCTCACGCACTGGCTTATGGCCACGTCACTCCAGCGTCTGCCTCTGTGACACATGGCTGCGACACTGTATGTGAAGGTTCCCTGTGTCTCTGTCTTTGGAACGACACTGACCTAGTTTAGGGCCAGCTGAATAACCTCTCCCAGCATCATTCACTTAGTCACATCTGCACAGTGTGTTTTTTGAGCCACATGAGGAGATGGTCACAGGTTTGGGGAATGAGGGCATAGTTGTCTTTTGGGCAACATTTTTCAAGCTCTTATCTCACATTTTTCTTTGAGGCCCACACTTTCCCCCACATACGCACACTTCCCAAACCTCAGCCACGTACCACCTGTAGATTTCTCCATCCCTCCCCTTACTCAGGCCTAAAACCTGGAACTCATTTCAATTCCTTCCTTTTTCCTCATACTATGGCTAGTCTCAGCAGATTCCCTACTTGCCCAGCCCTCCAAGTCTCTGGATTAGGCCACTCTTGGCCATTGGGTCAAGTGGTAGTCAGGTCTCACTGAGTGTTTGCAGCAGCCCTTGTTCACCTTCCTGCTGTGTTCTCGGTTTTGCAGCCAGCCTGGGCCCTTTGCTTAGGCAGATCTTGTTATTGCTCTAAGAATCCTCTAGACTCCCTGGAGCTGAGGCTGGGGCTCTCTTTGGGACTTCTTCACTGAACATTTTTCATGAACATCACCTCCTGCTGCTGACTTGCCCAGAGGTCTACCTTCCCTCTGCTTAAGTTCATTTCAAGCAGTATTTGCAAGGCTTATCCCATTTTTCACCCTCCCTCCCTTCCCTTTTCCCTTCCACCTTCCCTCGCTCCTTCCTTCTGCCTTCTTTCTCCCTCCCTCCCCCCCTCTCTCTCAGTCTCTTTTTTTTCCCTTCCCTCTCTTTCCCCTCCATCCTTCTTCCCTTGCTTCGTTCTCTCCCTTCCTCCCTTTTCCTCTCATCTCTTGAGTGTCACTAAAACCTCCACCCTTAGAATGGCCACTCCTATCTCCAGCACTCCCTCTACTTTCCCATCTTGGAGTCCCAGAGCACTCCAGTGCATCTCTCCATCTTTTCCATGCTCTCTGAGAGTAATTTCTCAGCCTTCTCCACATTCTACAGATGCCCTTGCTTTCCCCTGGTCTCCTGACTTCCCCTCAGACTCAGCCTGCCCATCCCATCTCTTTCCTCTTTGTCCTCTGAAAATACATTACTCCTTTCCTCAGACTCATGAGGTTGCCACAGGAAAGAGTCAGATACTGCAGCCTGAGCTGAAGAACTACTGGCCCTTGGATATATCTGCTACCTTTTTGGAAGCCTCAGGACCTCTCCACAGGGTGATCTGCTCTCTGCCTTCAGGGGATTGTTGCTGCTCCACAGTTCCATTCTGTGTCTCAACTTTTGCTTGAGTATTTTGTCTTCTGAAAATGCTCTTCTTGTCCACAGCTCCTGAGAAAACCCCTTCTTTGGGCTTTAAATGTCCCATTGGAGCCTAAGTTTTCCTTTACTGTCCAAGTCTGTAGTTTCCTGGCCCTTCTTGTGCCCATGAAACTGGAAATCGTGCTCTGTTGCACCATTTGCTGTAGACAGACTGGCACTTGTTATTTATGCCCTACTTATCCCTATTACAGCCTTGGGACTTCTGCTGGCCTTTTCTGTTCTACCTCACTATTAGGTGACTGGTGCCACTAAGAAGTGTCCATCCATACCCAGCCACTGGTAGCTCATACCTGTAATACTAGCTACTCAAGGAGGCTGAAATCTGAGGATCACTGTTCAAAACCAACTGGGTTAGGAATGTTCCTGAGACTCTTATCTCCAATTAACCATCAGGAACCCAAAGTGGACCTATGGCTTAGAGAGGGAGGGTACTAGCCTTGAACAAAATTGCTCAGGAACAGCACCCAGGCCCCAAGTTCAAGCCCCATTACTGACCCCAAAAAAAGAAAGTATCCTTTCAATCCTGTACTGGTGTCTCTTACCAGTACTAGGAAGATCACAGTTTGAGACCATCCTGAGCATACAGATGAGACCCTTTCTCAACCAACATCTAGGTGTGGTGGTATATGCTTGTCATCCTAGCTGTGTGAGAGGTGAAGATGAAAGGGCTTGTGGTTCCAGGCCACTCTGGACAAAAAAGTTTGAGATTCCATCTCAAGAGAAAGTAATAGGGTGTGGTGATGCATGCCTGCCATCCCAAATTTGAGGGAAAGCCTAAAATAAGAAGAGCATGGTCCAAACATCACGTACCTAGGCAGGAAGCAAGACTATCTCAAAAAAAAAAAAAGGAAAGAGATAAAAACACTGCAAAGCAAAAGAAAAAAACTGGTGTGTGACTCAGTGATTGAATGCTAACCTGGAAAACATAAGTCCTGAGTGCTACTGCCCCCTTTAGCTCCTCAGCCACATTTACAATGGACCTACAATGCAGCCAGAAGCTGAGAACTCACGTCCTTAGGGTTATAGGCACAGTGGATGGGCTGACAGATGCTGCCATTTCATTTCAGCTTTGATGACCATGACCCAGCTGTGATCCATGAGAATGCATCCCAGCCTGAGGTGCTGGTGCCCATCCGGCTAGACATGGAAATCGATGGGCAGAAGCTAAGGGATGCCTTCACCTGGAATATGAATGGTATGTGGACAGTTGGTCTCCATTGTATCTTATGTGTACATATGTCCCTTTTCCTACCAGCTGCCTGTCAGGTATCCTGGACTTGGCATAAAGAGCATTATGCCATGGTTCTTAAAGCTGTAGACTCTGGGTTCATTCTGGTTCTGCCACTGTTCTCTGCTCCTTTCAGGATGAGCATGTGTCTTAGTCCTTATTCTGGTATAATAGAGTACCTCAGACAAAGTAATGAATAAAGAAAAGAGGTTTATTGTGGTTTGTGATTCCAAAGGCCAGGAAGTCCAAGAGCAGGTGACAGCATCTTTTTAACGGGTAAGGGCTTTTTATTACCTCAACTACTGTGAGAAACCAAATGAAGGATGAACTTGCCTTGTGACAACCTTCTCTTATGATAACTCCACAGGAGTAAGAGAATTCATTCACCAAAGCAGAGCATTTTTCTACCCACAAGGATGTTGCCCCCATGACTCAATCACCTCTCCTGGCCCCATCTCCCAACCCTGCTTATTAGGGACTAAGACTCAACATGGATTTTTGGCAACACAAACTACATCTGAGCTATGGCAGCAGTTGGCAATGGTAGAACATGTGTGTCATCCCCAGCCCATAGGAGGCTGAAGCAAGAGGACTGAAAGTTCAAGGCCAGTCTGGGTTAAATATTGAGATATCTCAAAAAAGAGAAAAGAAAAGAAAAAGGCAGAACCAAAAATCCCCTGTAGTGCTTCAGGTGCTGTCTTCCATGGAGTGGCTTGGTGGCTCAAGGGGTCTGGCATGGCAAGTCCCTGTAGTACCAGTGGCGAAGATGACAAGGATGCTGCTCAGACCCTTTCACCATAACTCCTTTCCAGCCTCGGCTGCTCATGTTTCCTCACGAGCTGCATGTGTGCTGTTACTCTTTTGTCCGCTCACCTCTTCTTTTTCAGGCATCCTCTCTCTTTAACCCCTAGCCAGATGCCAGCTCTTTTTGGGCTTCTGTGATCTCAATGTAAGTCTCTTAGCTTATGCTAAGAAAGATTAGCAAGTTCTTTTGGGTTTTGTTTGGGATTTTGGTTTTTCATTTGTTTCGTGTTGGTATGAGGTCTTAAATTCAGGGCATTATGTTGAAATTTTAACATTGTGAATATGCAGGTTTAAATAAAATATAGTGTTAAAAAATTTTTTTTAAAGTTGGGGGACTGGGAAGGTGGCTCAGTGGTAGAGTGCTTGCCTTGCATGCATGAGGCCCTGGGTTCATTTCCTCAGCACCACACAAGCAGAAGAAGCCAGAAGTGGCGCTGTGGCTCATGTGGTAGAGCGCTAGCCTTGAGCTGAAGAGCTGAAGGACAGTGCCCAGGCCCAGAGTTCAAACACCATGACCAAAAAAAAAAAAAAAATTGAGGTATTGTCTTTTAGTTTTTTCACTGAAGGCTGGCATGCTTAACATTTAAGCTACAATTCCACTTCCAGTTTTTTGCTAGTTAATTAAAGATAAGAATCTCATAGACTGCCCTGCCCAGGCTGGATTCAAACTGTAGTTCTCAGATCTCAGCCTCTTTAATAGCTAGGATTACAGGCAGCCCCAGCTTTCAAGAAAGTTCTTCCCATGCACCTGTGTGCGCCCCCTCCTCCCCACCCCCCCACCAGTCATGGGGCTTGAACTCTGGGCCTAGGTCCTGTCCCTCAGCTCTTCAGCTCAAGCTCTACCACTTAAGTCACAGCACTACTTCCAGTTTTCTGACTGGTTTATTAGAGATAAGAGTCTCACAGACTTTCCTGCCTCAGCTAGCTTTGGACTATGAACTCAGCCTCCTGAGTAGCTAGGATTTTAGGCATGAGCCACCAGCACCCGGCAAGAAAGTTCTTTATTCATGATGACTCAGTGTAGAATGTTTGTTAACCAGCAGCATTCTCAGTAGTGTTCACAGCCTGTGGCTTTTATGGATGGCCCAAAGGAATCCTGGAGACAGTTTTCCAGCAAGTACTCATGTCTCTGATTGTCATCTGGGCTCCATACATGTTGGGAGGTGCCTTTGGGCAACACCAGGGTACAGTGGCTAGGGATGTTGGTCAGGTAATCATACCTATCCACACTAAGCTGCAGAATAAAGAACAAATGACTGATAGCATGCACAGGTCCAAGGTCAGATTTGCTGGCCACCAGATCTACATCTCAAACAAGTGGGGCTTTACCAAGTTTAATGCAGATGAGTTTGACAACATAGATGATTAATGGCTCATCCTGATTTCTGTGGATTCAGATATATCCCTAATCATGGCCTCCTGTTTAAATGGCAAGCCCTGTAGTTATTGGACTTTTTTTTCTTGCAAAACTAAGAATAGAACCCATAGTCTTATTCATATTAAACAGTTATATCCCAACCTTCTATCTGACTTGATGCTCATACTTACATGCAGACAAAAAGAAGTGGGTATTTTTGAGGGGTAGTTCAACTTTGCTTTGCTTTTTGGGTTTTTGTTATTTTTTGCTTCATTTATTGATACTGCACCTAGGTTGCCTAGGTTGGTCATGAACTTGAAATCTTTCTGCCTCAGCTACTGGAGTACTGGGATTATAGTTATGTACCATCATGCACAGTGTGAATATCACTTTAAAATGGATAGAAGTTGAGGGAAGAACTGGGAAAGAGCGAGGGAAGGGGTGACACTGTCCAAAAAGAAATGTACTCATTACCTGACTTATGTAACTGTAATTCCTCTGCACTTCACTTTTATAATAACAATAAAAAATAAAATGGATATTAGTTTAAAACTGCCAGAATCTCACTGCGAATGATTTCAGTTTTACCTTTTCTAGTCACTTCATGTGTAAACATTAGCATAATTATAGTGCTAGTAATTTGAGGGTTTTTCCTTAATGGTAAGTCTCTTGTTTCTTTCATAATTGGTGCGGAATTTCTGTTAGTTGAGCTGCCTTACTTTGTTGAAACTCCCTGCTGTTAACAGCTAAATGTCAGCTAACATCCTTACCTACAGCATTTTTCTTCCAAAGGGGATTTCCTAAAGAGAGTGAGCAGTTATTGATGTATAGCTGCCTTGAGCTTTACAGAAGGATTAGGCTACTTTCTTTGGTCGTCTCCAGATACCTGGTGTGTCAAGCCCATGTCCAAGGGCCTCTATTCAGCCCAAAGAGCCAAGTGCCTGTTTTCCAGGACTCATGAGTGATATATGGGTGAGAGAGGAGGTTCTAGGCAAGAGGTGCTGGGAGGTTGTATTGAGGGTAGATATGTTAGGTCCATTTCATTGATGACACCTAGTACTGGGATAGGGAAGTCGTAACTACCAGGCCATCATTGGTACTGTACATCATCTGCTATCTTTGCTTACTTGGCCTGTATCGTAGCTACTTGTTAATTCATCACTCCACCTTTAGTTTTAGCCCCTTGCAGTAAGGGACCCTCTTTTGGTTTATTTGTTTGATTGCCTTGCTATGCTGGTAGTTTATTTCTGATAACTTGGTTATAAAGATCAATGTGAATTTTTCAGCACTAAATAGATACAAGTTTCAGAGGTCTGTTGTTAATCAGCATCATCAGTTTCAATAAAACATGATTTTTTGGGGGGGTATCCGTAATTCATACTTGTGATCCTAGTTACTCTGGAGGCTGAGATATGAGGATTGTGGTTCAAAACCAGACCCTGTTATCTTCAGTTAATAACCAGAAAAGCTGGAAGCAAAACTATGGTTCAAGTGGTAAAACACTAACCTTGAGCAAAAAAAAAAAAAAAGTAAAAAATAAGGGCTGTACATCACTCAGGCCCTGAGTTCCAGCCCTCGTACTGGCTCAAAAAACAATAAAAACATTATTTCATGTTTATGGAGGAGAAATATTTCCTGATTAAGTAGACACTTATATAGACAGATTCATTCTAAGAAGCTTAATATTGAAACATTTCATTTAGAAGTCTCTACTTTTTTCAATTTGCTATAGCCCATATTCACTGAGTAGAACTTGAACTGAACTAGGTCCCCACAGCTCACACCTATAATCTTAGCTACTCAGGAGATTGAGATCTGAGTATCATAGTTCACAGCCAGCCTGGGCAAGAAAACCCATGAAACTCTTTTATCTCTAGTTAATAACTAAAAAGCTGGAAGTGGAACTTCCAAGTGGTAGAGTCCCAGCCTTAAGTGCAAAAGCTCAGCGACAATGCTGAGCTTTTTTTTTTTTTTTGTACTGGTACAAAAAGCAAAAAAAGCAACTCCAAACTTGTATTGATCATTAGGACCCAATTTATTTAAGGATTCTTGGTAACATTTCCTGCAACCATTCATAGAATGTTGCTAGTACTTACTTGTACCCTCACCCTATTTAGAAGGAATGTAAGGTAAGTGCCATAAGAACACTTGGAACAGAAGACTAATTTAAATTAAAAAGTGGTTAGGGAAAAAAACTGGATAAAAGGAGAAAATATGCTGGGTGCCTGTGGCTCACGCCTGTAATCCTAGCTACTCCAGAGGCAGAGATCTCAGGGTAGCAATTTAAAGCCAGCCGGGCAGGAAAGTTTGTGAGACTCCAGACAAAAAACCAAGATTCCAGGATTGGAACTGCATCTCAAGTTGTAGAACACTAACCTTGAGAAAGAAAAGCTCAGGAACAGTGCCCAGACTGAATGCAAGCCCTAGGACCAGTACACACACACACATTAAGTCTCACACACACACACACACACACACACACACACAAATTAAGTATAAACATGCATAGGAAATCCTGAACTATTCCATACCAGCATATCAATACTATTCTGTCCAGAGATAAAATATTCCTCCCTTTGCTTTTTTGTATTTTTTGAAACAGTTATTTGTGAAATAAATAGTTCTGAGGAAGAATAGCTACTAAATGCTCAGAGTTAGAAATCCAAGAAGCCAAGCCCAGCAGTTAGGATCTGAAATCCATGAGGTAACCATGGTAGCCAGGTGACCATGACCGAGTCTAGAGGTGAAACACAGTTCTCTTATTTTCCCGTTGGAATGTCTTTCATCCACCTGTTTCCTGTGTGATTATAAATAATAGGTTTCTATAATTACCTTCCACAATAGCAAAATACTGCTAGGAATTTTGAATCTGAATTGCTATATAACTATTTTGTAGTTATATATTGCTGAAGATAGATTAGAAATCAAGAGCTTCTATAGAAAAAAAATTTTTTTTAATGAAAAGAAAAAAACCCATCTAGCTGGGTGCCGGTGCTCATCCTAGCTACTTAGGAGGCTGATATCTGAGAATTGTGGTTCAAAGCCAGTCCAGACAGGAAAGTCCATGAGCTACATCTCCAATTAACCACCAGAACACTGGAAGTGGCGCTGTGGCTCAAAGTGGTAGAGCACAAGCATTGAGTTACAGAGCTCAGGGACAGTGCCCAGGCCCAGAGTTCAAGCTCCATGGACCCCCCCCCCCCCCATTAAAAGCAATATTACTGCAATTGATGTGTGTGTGTGTGTGTGTGTGTGTGTGTGTACTAGTGCCAGGTCTTGAACTCAAGGCCTTGTACTCCAACTCAGCTTGCTCATGGCTGGCATGCTTAGCCATGCCTGCAGTCCAGCTTTTTGCTGGCTAATTAAAGATGGAGTCTCACAGACTCTTCTTCCTGGGCTAATTTAAGATCATGATCTCCAGGTCTCAGTCTCAGTTTCAGCTAGGATTACAGGAATGAGTCAGTGTTATAGGTTTGAGCCAAATTCAATTCAATGGAAGAAAGCCTTTTGTTGTTGTTGTTGTTGTTTGTTTCTAGACAGGGTCATTGTGTAGCTTGGGCCTGTAACTACCAATCCCCTGCCTAGGCTTCTCAAGGAGTAGGATTACAGGCATGTTTCCCCAAGCCCAGCAAAGATAATCCCTTTGAACAAAGTGATGCTGGAGCAGTTGAATACCCATAGATAAATAAGTAAGTGAACTTTGACTTAAACCTTACATGTTATGTAAGAATAAAGTAAAAATGAATTAAATATAAGCCCGGTGCCAGTGGCTAACGTTTATAATCCTGGCTACTCAAAAGAGACCAGGATTTGAACTGAGATCTAAGGATCTCAGGTCAAAGATAGCCAAGGCAGACTCTTTTTTTTTTTTTATATTGGTCATGGGGCTTGAATTCAGGGCATGGGCACTGTCCCTGAGCTTCTTTTTGCTCAAGACTAGTGCCACTTCTGCCTTCTTCTGAGTGTTTATTGGTGGTAGGAGTCTCACAGACTGTCTTGACTGGACTGACTTTGAGATTTCAGGTGTGAACCACCATCAGCTTGTAAGACTGTTGTCTACAATTAACTAGCAATAAAAACCAGAAGTGGATTTGTGGCTCAAGTAGTAGAGCTCTATCCTTGAGCAAAAAAGCTTAGGAACAGCGCCCAGGCCCTGTGTTCAAGCCCCAGGGAACCGCCCCCCTCACCACCCACAAAAAAAGAAAGAAATGTAAGATTTAAATGTAAAACACAAAACTATATATCTGTGGGGGGAAAACATAGGAAATTTGGGGTATTGAACACTAGAGAAAAAAACTTTTATACACTAATAGCACTATCTATAATAGGAAATATTGAACATTGGAATTCATCAAAGCCTTGCCTTCAGAAGTTCTTTTTTTTAATTTTCTTAAATATTTTAATTGTTATTATAAAGGTGATGTGCAGAGGGTTACAGCTAAATAAGTTAGGTTACATTTCTTTTTGGACAATGTTACCCCTTCCCTCCAGAAGTTCCTTTTTAAAAGACAAGCTTCAGAATAAGCAAAAATAAGTTGGGAACCATATACCTGATAAAGAATTACAGTCTAGAACATAAGGAACTTTTAAAACTCAGCATTAAAAAAGTGAATCCAATTAGAACAAATAGACAAGAAGACACCCTGAAATAGACACACATATGGCAAGTAAAAATAGAAAAGATGTTCTACATTATTAGCCATTAAAGAAATGCTAATTTGACCTATAATAAAAAGCATGCCAATAAAAAGTAGTAGCATATGATCCCAGTGCTGATGAGATTGTGTCAGGAGAATTATGGGATTATGAGCAGCTTGGGTTATAGTTGAGACCCTGTTTCCAAAACAAAACAAAAAGTAGTGAGAACAGATATTTGTGAGATTGTGGAAGAATTGGGTCACTCACACAGTGCTAATGTAATGTAAATGTCTCAGCTGCTCTGGAAAACAATGTCAGTTTCTTTTAAACACTAAGCATGCAGCTACCATATGACCCAGCAGTTGCATTCTTGGGCATGTGGCTCAGAGAAAAGAGGACTCTCTTGCTACTTAGGAAGGAGAGATAGGAGGATCTCAATTTGAGGTCAGTCAGGGCTAAAACACTAAAAAATAAAAGTGATTTTGTGACTCAAATATTTGAGTACCTGCCTGCAAGTGCGAGGCGCTGAGTTTTCACTAAATCTAAACACAAATGTTCATAGCATTTTTATTTGTAATCAGAAACTGGAAACCTCGTAGATATCCTTCACTGGGTAAATAGTTAAATAGAATGTGATTTCTCCATAGTGTGAAATTCTGTGTGTAATAAAAAGGCAGGGACAGCCTGGATGGCTAGAGAATTTTATTGAATGAAGAAAGGAAATTTTCAGAAGTATACATGCCATATAATTCTATTTATATAACATTGTGGGGGTGTTTTTGGTTTTGGTTTCTTGTGCCAGTCCTGGGGCTTGAACTCAGAGTCTGGGTACTGTCCCTGTGATATTTGTCCAAGGCTAGTGCGCTACCACTTGAGCCACAGTGCCACTTCCAGTATTTTAGTGATTAAGGTAAGTCTCTTTGTTTGTATTGTTAGGTTTCGGATAGGGTTTTGCTTTGTGTGGATTGGGCCTGAACTGTGTGATACTCTCCATTTGTACTCCCTTCAGACATTGATACAGATGAAATTTCACCAATTTCCTTTGCACGTGCACGTGTGCATGCGTACATACATGTGTGTGTGCGCGTGCATGCGTGCACACACATGCCAGTACTGGGCTTGAACTCAAAGCTTGGGCACCATAGCATAGCTTCTTTGCCCAAGTCTGGTATTTTACCACATGAGCCACAGCTCTACTTCTGACATTTTGGTGGTTAACTGGAGATAGCATCTCACAGACTTTCCTGCCTGGACTGGCTTTGAACTTCAGTCCTCAGATCTCAGCCTCCTGAGTAGCTAAGATTACAGATGGTGAGCCATTGGCCCCCAGCTCACAAAATTTCTGCCTAGGTTAGTAGCAAACTGTAATCCTCCATCTCTGTCTCCCACAAGAGCTAGGATTGCGAGCCACATCAAGGAGCTATATAACATCCTTGAAATGGGTTCTAGATTAATGAGGAGGTGAGAGTGGAAAGGAAGTAGGATGGCCCTGGTAGAAATGCCCTAGATCCTGGTTAGGAGATTGTTAAAAGGCTCCCTCAACATGAGGGGACTAGGTCCTGGGGATAAGGGCTAGCAGAGAAGGATGCTTTGTCATTTGCTTTCTCCTCCATCCCCAACATCTGAAAGCGGTCCACGTATGCCTGTAGGGGAGGTCTGGCAGAGGTGGAAGGGACTGATCCTAATGAATGAGGCTCTGCAATGTGGTGATGCTTCTTTCCTGATTTCAGAGAAGCTGATGACCCCTGAGATGTTTTCAGAAATTCTCTGTGATGACCTGGATCTGAACCCCTTGACATTTGTACCTGCCATTGCCTCTGCCATCAGACAGCAGATTGAGTCCTACCCTACAGACAGCATTCTAGAGGACCAATCCGACCAGCGTGTCATCATCAAGGTAGATGGCGGGAGAGAAATATATTATTGTGGTGCTCAGGGATAGTGAGGTCTTAGCAGAAGCCTATCTTTAGGTCCATGACAGAATTCACTGGGAAATGTAGTGGAATTTTGATAAGAATCTATCTGTAAACTGCTTTGGGTATATTGATATTTTAACACTGTTATGTCCATTCTAGACTTCTAGTCCATGGATGTGAGCTCTTTCTCTAGTCATTTCTTTCAGCAATGTTGAATAAGTATAGTTTTTTTCACTTGTGTATTTTATTCTTTTTTTTTTTTTTTTCCTTTTCGTGCTGATACCAAGACTTGAACTCTCTGGGCCTTCCTTTCTTCCTCAAGTTTACTGCTCTGCCATACGTATTTTTTGCTGGTTAATTGGAGATAAGTCTCAAAGCTTTGAGGTTGCCTTTGAACTCTGATTTCAGTCTCCTGCGTAGGCAGGATTACAGGCATGAGCCACTCTTGTCCAGCTTTGTTTAGAACTTGTTTAGGTTTTTTGAGTTGGTGTTCATAAAAGATTTTAGTGTGTGTTTTTACTTTCCTAAAGTATTGGGCTGATTTTGTTCTCTTCTGCTTTTTTTGGGAGAATTTGAGAAGTTATTTTTAAATGTTTGTTAGAATTCATCCATGAAATCACCAGATCTAAGGCTTTTATTTCTCTGGAGATTTGGGGTACCTGATTCTGTTCTCTTGCTAATTAACACTTAGGAAACAAATATGAATTTGTTTTCTTTAAACCATGTCAGATTTAAACCATGACCAGCTAACATGGAAAGGGTGTGAAGGAAAGGGATATCATGAGAGAGGAGTAGGAAGAGGAGCTGTGGCATGTGTTGCTTTGTACCCTCAAACACAGCTCTAGAGGACAGCCGTGTGAGCTTTATGGTATTTGCTTTATGATCTTTGGTAATTGTGGTTAGGATATAAAATTAGCTCTGCATAGCTATGAGGTTGGGCAGAGCTATCTGTCTTGTATACTGGCTTTGTAATTCTGACAGTGCATATCCAGCCAGCTTCCTAACATTTTCTCAGAATTGAGCACCAGGTTTTTATTTGTTTGAGCTGGTGTTGGGGCTTGAACTCAGGCCTGGGCATTGTCCATTAACTTCTTTTTTCAAAGCAAGGCTGGTGCTCTACCACTTGAGTCATAGTTCCACTTCAGGCTATTTGGTGGTTAGTTAGAAATAAGAGCCTCACAGACTTTTCCTGTCCCAGATGGCTTCAAACCACAATCCTCAGATCCCAGCCTCCTGAGTAGGGTTTTTGTTTTGTTTTGAGATTTGTTTGTTTTTTTGGCTTAGCTGGGCTCATGAGTTAGTCACACAGGAAATTATATAACAGCTGCAAATCTTTCATGGGCTACCATCTGCTCTTCCCTTAAGTATAGGGTTCCCAGTAATTCTCATGTATCTGTAATCCTCTCCTGTGGGGTGGCATTGGCTGGTAGGCTCTTGGGAGACTGGGTACAGGACAAATACAGCTGACTCAGGGAAATCTGTGCTGCATGGGACAGTGCGGTGTTCAATCAAGCCAGAGGTGACCCACCTTGTAGCCGAGGAACTGATGTTCACACTTAAATTTTCCCACACGTGGCACTTGGCAGAGCTAAGTGTTGTCTGAGGATGTTCTTCTTTGTCTTGATCCTGAACACAGTGGAGTGTCCCTTGCAGAAAACAGTGCTGAGTGACCTTTTCAGATCCCTTTGGCATTGCTGGGACTAAAGCCCAGGCCTGGCTACCTTTACTAGGGCAACTGGCCCCACTACTTGCTGCCCACTTGCTTGGGGCATCTTGGCCCACCCTAGTCTCTGTGAGCTCCCCTGCACCCAGCCTTACCACATCAACTCTTTATATTGCTGAGTCTGTCACTTGCCCATGATCCTCTCCTCTAGGGAGCCATATGCCTAAATCTAGGTGATTGACTTCTTCCTAAAAAGATACCTCCCTAGGAGGCCTTCCTTACTACTTTGCTTCACCCTGAAGCACTTAAGTCTGTCCCACACCATGTGCTTACTTGTTAGTATCTGTCTTCCCATTAGGTCAAAGTATCAACGTTTGGGGCTGGGAAGGTGGCTCAGTGGTAGAGCGCTTGCCTTGCATGCATGAGGCCCTGGGTTCGATTCCTCAGCACCACATAAGCAAAAAGAAAAAAGCCAGAAGTGGCGCTGTGGCTCAAGTGGTAGAGCGCTAGCCTTGAGCTGAAGAGCTGAGGGACAGCGCCCAGGCCCAGAGTTCAGGCCCCAGGACCGGACCAAAACAAAAAACAAAACAAAAAAACACAAAAAAACGAAGTATCAAAGTTTGAGGACTCAAACTCATATGTCTGCCTCAACAAGTGTATAATATCAGGTATGGCAGCTGGTCTAGACAATTCAGTTTTGTTTTGTGTTGAGGTTATGGGATTAGACCCTAATGCATGCTAGGCAAGTGCTGTACTACTGAATGACTTACTCAGACCTTGATTGTTTTTGCGATAGTATCTCACTATTGTCGGTTGTGGGCCTTGAACTCTTCAGCACTTCACCTCAAGGCAAACGCTCTACCACTTGAGACTTCGCACCACTTCTGGTTTTCTGGTGGTTAACTGGAGATAAGAGTCTCATGGGCTTTCCTGCCCTGGCTGGCTTTGAACCACAGTCCTCAGATCTCAGCTTCCTGAGTAGCTAGGATTACAGAAGCAAGGCACCAGCTTCTAGCTCTGTTTTTTTGCTGGTTATTTCTGAGATAGCACCTTGCTTTCCATGCAGCCTGGCCACTTTAGACTTCCTGTCATTGCTGGAATCATAAGTATATGCTTCTATGTTCAGCTTCTCTCCATTAGAGATGGAGTCTCATGGACTTTGCTGCCAGGCTAAGCCTGGAACCATTATGCTCCCAATTCAGCCCCCAATGTAGCTTAGGATGACAGGTGTATACCACTGTGCCCAGCAATGAGTTGAGAAAGCGCCTCTCAGACTTTCTAGTCAGGTTGGCCTTGAACTGCTCGCTTGCATTCTCAGCTTCCCAAGTAGCTAGCTAGGCCTGAGCTATCAGTGCTCAGCTTTAGATTGGCAATTCCAGTGTTAGTCTCTCCTCTACCTCCCTGGGGTTTTTTTGTTTGTTTTTTTTGTTTTGTTTTGGCCAGTCCTGGGGCTTGAACCCAGTCTGGACACTATCCCTGAGCTGCTTTTTGCTCAAGGCTAGCTCTCTACACAGCTCTCTAGCAACAGCGCCACTTCCTGCTTCTTCTGAGTAGTTCATAAGAGATAAGAGTCTCACAGATGGGCTGGGAAGGTGGCTCAGTGGTAGAGTGCTTGCCTTGCATGCCTGAGGCCCTGGGTTCGATTCCTCAGCACCACATAAGAAAAAAGAAAAAATCCGGAAGTGGCACTGTGTGGCTTAAGTGGTAGAGTGCTAGCCTTGAGCTGAAGAGCTGAGGGACAGCGCCCAGGCCTAGAGTTCAGGCCCCACGACCGGACCCAAAAAAAAAAGAAAAAGAAAAAAGAAAACAGAAAAAAATAAAGAGTCTCACAGATGTGGGTGCAGTGTTGAGACAGAAAAGGCCTCCGGGGGGCTTGCTACAGCCACACTCCCAGCTAGATGCCCTATGTGGGATGCTGCGGACTGTGCACCTCTGCTTCCTTCCTCTGTTTGCCAGCACTGTGATGAGGTTCTGTTGATAACCATATAAATGTCCTGGCGCCCATTTAGGGGATTCCTGGTTCTCAGGGGATGACAGAGCAGTAGAAAACAAGACAAATAACTAACATGGTCTCAGAGTTCTAAGTGCTATGAAGAAAAGAGGTAATCAAAAGGGGATGGTAGGTTGGGGAGATCTCAGGAACTAAGTCTTCCTCTGAGCCAGTGCTGAGAAAAGGCCCATGTGTGAAGGGAAGAACTCTCTAGCCAGTATAAAGTGATGCAAAGACAAGACACTGGGTCAGGAGTTGAGACTCTCGAGTCTCTGAAGGGAGGTAGAAGTCTCTGGCTAGGCCAGGGCTGGTCCCCAGATCTGCTCACTGCTCTCAGAGCAGTGGCCACTTCCCTATGTCCTGCCCACCTCTGGTCCTCATAAAACCAAGGGACTAAAGTGTCACCACGCATGTACACTGTGGTCTGCCCATCAGGCCCAGCTCTTGACAATGGTGAGGAAAGGGCCCAGCCCACACTGCAGTGGGAAGCTTCAGACGTGCGGAGGAAACACACAGGCACAGCAGGGACTGTTGGTGTCGTTTCATGACGGGCAGGAGCTCAGTGAGCTGTCTGCTGAGATCACTGAGAGATGCCAATTCTATAAAACAAGGAGCTAGGCACTGGTAGACCATGCCTGTAATCCTATCTGTTCACGAGGTTGAAATCTGAGGATTGCATTCAAAGCCAGCCTGGGTAGGAAAGACCCTAAGATTCTTTTTGTTTGGTTTGGTTTGGTTTTATATTTGTTTTGTTTTGTTTTTGTTTTTGTCGGTTATGGGGCTTGAATGCTGAGCCTGGGCGCTGTCCCTGAGCTCTTCAGGGACAAGCACTCTACCACTTGAGCCATAGCGCCATTTCCGATTTTCTGGTGGTTAATTGGAGATAAGAGTGTCATGGACTTTCCTGCCAGGGCTGATTTTGAACTAAGATTCTCAGATCTCAGCCTCCTGAGTAGCTAGGATTACAGGCATGAGCCACCAGCAGCCAGCCATAAGATTTATTTATTTTTTTTTTTTTTTGGTCAGTTGTGGGACTTGAACTCTGGGCGTGGGAGCTGTCCTTCAGCTCTTCTGCTCAAGGCCAATGCTCTACCACTTGAGCCACAATGCCACTTTCGGTTTTCTGGTGGTTAATAGTAGATAAGAGTCTCACTCACTTTCCTGCCCGAGTAGCTTTGAACCTCCATCCTCAGATCTCAGCCTCCTGAGTAGCTAGGATTATAGGCGTGAGCCACCGGGCACCCAGCCATAAGATTCTTTAACTAGCAAAAAAAACAGAGGTAGCTCAAGCGGTAGAATGCCATGCTTGAATATAAAAGACAGTACCGGAGCCCTAAGTTCAAACCAACACACACACACACACACACACACACACACACACACACACACACACACACACACACACACACACACACACACACACCACACACACCACACACACCACACACGAAGCAAGGACATGGTGATGGCTTAAGATAGTCTCAGGAACAGTCTCTGACAAGGAACACTTGAGCTGAATCCTGTCTGGTGAACACAGTAACATTAAGGCTAATTGCCTCGATCAAAGGGTAAGAAAGAGTCACTGGTCAGTATGGGGAAACGAGGAAGATGGGGATAGAGGTAAGGTGTACTCAGGTGTCCCTGGAGCCCCTGTGGCAACACTAGGAGGTTTACAAAGCCGGTCATGTTTTGGGGATGGCACCTGGAAGGACGGGCAGCCGTCCCAATTCTAACTCCTGAGTTGTGCTTAGCATCTACAGCCGTAGACTGGGTTGTCCCCAGTCTGGCAGCCTGGCTGTGCCGGGGTGGCCTTGTCCTTTCTCATCTGAGTGTCTTGGCTCTTGCTGCAGCTGAATATCCACGTGGGAAACATCTCCCTGGTGGACCAGTTTGAGTGGGACATGTCGGAGAAAGAGAACTCACCGGAGAAGTTTGCCCTGAAGCTGTGCTCAGAGCTGGGGCTGGGCGGGGAGTTTGTCACCACCATCGCTTACAGCATCCGGGGACAGCTGAGCTGGCATCAGAAGACCTATGCTTTCAGGTAGGATGGCACACGCGTCTACACCTCTTCCTTCCTTGTTCCTCTACCAGCCTCCTCTGGGAAGAGACTTCTGTCTGTGGGAGCTGTGATCTTTTTGCAATTCTTGGGCTTCATGGTAACCAGGCTGTGACCTGTTCATTGGCTCTGGGCTCTTGTCAGCAGGGCTCTCCTGTCACAGGAAGTATTGCAGCTAAAGAAGTGGCACATTGAGAGCACTGAGTATGATCCTAGCAGACTCAGTATTCTGACAGTGAAATCTTGCCTTCATTGTCCCCAAGTCCTCAGTCTTCCCAGGGCCACCCTAAGGCCCTCCCATCCTTCCTCCACACAGCAGCGCTTCCCCAGACTGCATATATTCTGTCCTTTGTCTGTACTCTTGGCCTAGCCTTTCCTCCTCCACACCTAGATTCTCCCTCTGTTTTATTTTTTGTTTGTTTGTTGCAGTAGATAGTAGGGCTTGAACTTAGGGCCTGGGGATTGTCTCTTTAAGCTCTACTTCCAGCTTTTTGTTGGATAACTGGATATCAGAGTCTCCTAACTTTTTGCTCAGGTTGGTTTTGAACTATTATCTTCAGATCTCAGCCTCCAGAGTAGCTAGGATTACATGGGTGAGCCCACCCATGCTTGGCTCTTTATCTGTTTTAAACAAGAGTACCCCAGCTTGGGTACCTGTATTCAGAGAACATTTGGTGACCACAGTGTGAGACTGCCATACTGGATACTGAGGAAAAGATCAGGTCACACTGACCTACCTGCAGCTGAGTACATGAAGTATGAACAGAATCTCCTAGAACAGCCTTTCCCCTTGAAAAGAAAACACGAACAAAAGAACTTTCTGTTCTGGGGCACTCTGAGATGACTCTGAACTTAGCCACCTCATCAAGCTGCAAGAATAGGAAGCCCTGTAGTTTCTGATACATTCCTCTGCTTGTCTTTCTGGTTGGGATGATTTGCAGAGATGGAATGCCACCAAGTATTCCTGTACCAAGAGCAGGATATTGGGAAGGATTGTGCCCGCAGACTGTCATCATTTACGTTGTACTCCAGACGGACAGTCTACAGTGTTTAGGAGGAGCAAAGACAAAGGTCTTTGTGGCAGTTCAAAGAGCTTGTTAGTAGGTTTATGTCTCCGCTGGCTTTCCCAGACATCCCAAGAGACAGTTTTCTTGGCACTTCCTGTAAATCTGAGCAAGAGAAAATGAAGCACAGCCACAGGGTACAAGGCCCCTAGCCTGGGAAATAGTTGCACCCCTGGGCCCCAATACTTGCTGTGCTCATGAGTCACCTGCTGTGACCCCTCTGGCAGTCCTGCTGGCTGATGGTTCTGCTTCCAAGTCCTAGTGTCTGTCTTGCCCATGGGTATAGCCGAGGTGTGTGTGTACTCCTATATGGAGCTAAGGCCAACAGGCTTGAGAGACAGTCTAGGTTGACCTTGGTCCCCAGAAGCAGCGGCATCGTACTGGCTTTGCCAGTGGCCTTGACACCGAGCACTCTCTCGTAGATGTTAGTCCAAAGGGAACCCATTTTTCAGACTTACAGGCAGTAGGTGGTAGCTTGTTGCTCCCAATAACTATAGACACTAAGCTGTTGACCTTCATGTGGCAGCTGCTTTCCTTTGGTCACCGGCACTCTGAGCAATATTCCCCTGCTTAGTGACCACTTACTGAATTCCATGTTTGGGCTGGAAGTGGCACAGACCTTGGCCACTGTCTCCACTGCCAGCGTGCAGCTTTCAAGTCCTTGGGAATAAAGGCTAGGCTACTCTGCCAAAGACTTGAACAAACACACGTGCCCTTCACAGTGGGTGGCCTGGGGACCTGTTGGGGTCCCAAGAACTTTCTTTGGCATTAGAAAGGCAAACTTATGTCTGTCCAGTCTATGATGTGGGCCATTGCCATTTGGTCAGCCATTATACTCGCCATATAAGGAGATCCAGCAATGACAGCTCAGGGACTTTAGGCCGGAGGCTGGCTCCCTCCCGGACTTTACAGTTTAGGGAACAAAACTGTGGCCCACTGTGGCAAGGTAAGGGACCAGAACTTGTGTTTCTGACCCTAATTCTTCCCACAGTCCCACCCCACCCCTCACAGACTAGAATGAGAGATGGGACTTGAACTCAAGGCCTGGGCACTGTTCCTGAGCTCTTTCACTCAAGGCTAGCACTCTACCACTTTAAACCACAGTGCCACTTGCATAAGATTTTTTTAAGGAAACCACTGTTTGTCCTGAAGGCCTGGTAGTTCCTCCATAAGAGAAGAAGAGGCTGACTCAGAGTCCTGACCTGCTTTCTCTGCCATGCACTGTGCATGACAACTGCCCAACCATGTGACTCCTTAGAGTTCTGACAGGGAAAAGTGGCTCACACTTGTAATCCTAGCGGCTTGGGTCGTGTAGATCAGGAGCATTATAGTTTGAGGACAGCTAGGAGGAAAAGTTATCAAGACCCCTTCTCAACCAATAAAAGGTTGAGCATGGTAGCATACCTCTCAATGGGAAATGTAAGTAGAAGGATCATGGTCTAGGCTGGCCAATTCAAAAAACAAGACCTCAGCCAAGCATCTGTGGCGCACACTTGTCGTCTTAGCTACTCAGGAGACTGAGATCTGAGAACCATGGTTTGAAGCCAAGCTCCAGGCAGGAAAGTCCAGGAGACTTGTAACTCTAATAAACACCAAAAGCCAGAGGTAGAGGTACGACTTAAGTGGTACAACGCTAGTGCCTTGAGCACAGAAACTCAAGGACAGCATCCAGGCTTTGAATTCAAACCCAGGACTGGTGTGTACACATGCACACGCATGCACATACACACACACACACACACACACACACACACCACACACATATTGGGGACATAGGTCCCCCATAGCACAAGGCCCTAAGTTCAAATCCTAGTGCCACCCAAAATTACATTCTAGCCTCAATCCCCACACTTGGAAGTGCTCTGAATGCCCTGTAATCATGCCAGTCTTTTTCCAGTTGGAGCCCAGTACCTGAGGCATTGTTGTATCCACAGGGAAGTCAGACAGACAAGTCTAACAGGAAGTTTGAGAGAAAAACAGGCATGTGACAATCTTGTTACTCTAGGCTCCTAGAGGACAACTGGACCAAAGTGGCATTCAGACATCTTAGAGCCAACTGAATGGGGACAAAGGGCCTGTGACAAGAAGTCACAATGTGGAAAGAGCCTTGCTGGGGTGGGGCTGGGCTAGGTACACGGGCCCCTCTGAAAATTGTACCTAGCAAAGGTACTGGCACTTTCTCTGGGTCACCCTTGTGCCCTAGACCAGGGAATAGAGAATACAGCACCGTCTCTTAGGGACACATGGCACCACTGCTCTGTGACCCCTGACACACCAGAGGAGAGGTAGCGGGGATTGGTATTGCCCTTAGGGTGAAGTTGGGCATTGTAGGAGCTGGCTGGGATCTGAAGGGCAATGGTAGGGCAGGCACTGCCTGAGGCTGGGCAGTTCTGTCTTGCCTGGGGAGCTCCTCAGCATTTGTCCCTGCCAGGATCCTAGGTTGAAGGTAAGTCAGACTGATGGGAGAGACAAAGACAATGTCCCTCGGCTGGTGCAGGCCTAGGAATTACGTTGGAGGAGGAGTCCTTATGGACTGGTTGGGTTGTGGACAGTATACCTAAAGATCTGCCCACCAGTCTGACTTAATGTCACAGCTTGTTTATAACAGCCTTACTGACGAATAGTTCACAGACCATACTACTTACTCATTTATTATATTTTGTAGTGCTGGGAATCCAGCCTAGGCCCTTTGTGCATACTAGGCAAATACTCTCCTGTTGAACTACGTCACCAGCTGCCCCTGCTTCATTTAAAGTGCCCAAGTCACTAGTATTTAGTGTATTCACAGAGCTGTGCAGCCATTGCCATTTAGGATACTCCAAAAGGAAATTCCATACCCCTTAACTTTCACTCCCCTTTCCCACAAATCTCCCAACCCTAGACTACTTTCCACCAATAGACTTGCCAATTCTGAGCACATAATAAATGAAGCCATATTCCATGGCCTTTATGACTAACTTCCTAGCATGTTTTCAAGGGTCATGCATGTTGTAGCAGAGATCAGAACTGCATTCTTTCTAGGGTTGAGTAGTATTCTGTTGCTTGGATAAAACACTTGTTTCTTCATTGGTAACTGGACTTTAGGGCTGTTTCCACTTTTTGGCTATTGTGAATAAACCTAAGAGCGTTTGTGTCTTAAGTTTTTGTTTGAACACCTGTTTTCAATTCTCTTGGTTATATACCTGGGAATAGAATTGCCAGATCATGATAACTCTGTTTAGAAGAATAGCCAACTTGGTTTTCAAAGTGGTTCCACCATTTCCAAATTCTTACTAATTTTTTTCTTGTCTTCTTTCCTTTATTCCCCCCCCCCCTTTTTTTTTCTTTTTTGTCCATTGTGGGGCTTGAACTCTGGTCCTGGGCGCTGTCCCTCAGCTCTTCAGCTCAAGGCTAGCACTCTACTGCTTGAGCCACAGCGCCACTTCCAGTGTTCTGGTGGTTAACTGGAGATAAGAGTCTCATGCACTTTCCTGCCTGGGCTGGCTTTGAACCGTGATCATCAAATCTCCGCCTCTTGAGTAGCTAGGATTACATGTATGAGCCACCAGCACCCGGCTCCTTTCCTTTCCTTTTCTGAGAGTCTCAGATTGACCTGGAACACCCTTTTTTTGTTTAGGTCTGAGACAAGGACTCAAACTTGGTACCTGACGCTACCTCAAACTTGGTACCTGACGCTACAGCTCATTGGCAAGCACTGTACCAACTGAACCATGCCTTCCAACCCCTTTAAAAAAAATTTGTGCTGGTCCTGGGGCTTAAACTCAGGTCATGGGTGCTATCCTTGAGCTTCTTTTTCTCAATGCTAGTGCTCTACTACCTGAGCCACAGCTTTACTTCCTGGCCTGGAACTGTGGATCCTGCTACCTCAGCTTCCCAAGTGCTGGGATTACAGGCACGTATACCACACCCTGCTCTTGGCAATTTTTTTCAGTTGTAGCCTAGAATCCTAGCAAAGTAATTGTAGCTTGGAGTTCTGTTTTCCTGATGACTAATGATAATTGAACATATTTTTCTGTGTATCTTTGGAGAAATGGGTTAAGTCCCATGCCTGTTTAATTGAATTATTTTATTACTGAGTTGAAAGAGTTCTTAAAAAAAAAAAAAGAAGAAAAAAAAAAAAAAAAAAACAACTAGCTCTTCGGGGTTTGAAGTGTGGCTCAGTTGGCTGAGTGCTAGCCAGTAAGCAACAGCATCAGATACCAAGTTCAAGTCCCAGTCTCAGACCTAAAAAAGAAAAGTTCTTTACATATTCTTTTTTTTTTTTTTTTTTGGTCGGTCGTGGGGCTTGAACTCTGGGCCTGGGCGCTGTCCCTCAGCTCTTCAGCTCAAGGCGAGTGCTCTACCACTTGAGCTACAGCGCCACTTCCGGTTTTCTGGTGGTTTATTGGAGATAGGAGTCTCACGGTCTCTCCTGCCCGGGCTGGCTTTGAACTGCGATCCTCAGATCTCAGCCTCCTGCGTAGCTAGGATTACAGGCGTGAGCCACCAGCGCCCGGCTCTTTACATATTCTAAATACAACCCCCAATAGGTTTGTTTTGCTATTCTGTGGGTTGCTTTTCACTTTGATCATGGCCTTTGCAGAACAGAAGTTATTTTGATTAGTCCATCAGTTTTTTGAGTCCTATCTAAGGAACCATTGCCTAATCCAGAGTCATGTTGTGCTGGCACCATATTGAAAAGCTTGTTGCCATTTCTTCATTGAATGATTTAACACCTGTCAAAAATCAGTTCAACGAGTGGGTTTTTCTTGCTTGCTACCCTATTTATAAGGTACCATGTGATTTGTTGCTGTGTATGTCCCTCCCCCACGGTATAACCCCTGCTTTCACCGTATTTGATGTTGGTATAATTTGGGGAGGGGAAGGGAAAAAACAAATTGTTTAAATAGGGATACAGGTGGACCCATTGCAACAATGAGAGGGAAGGGATGGTAGGGGAAAAACAAGAGGAGGCAACAATGCTGGATAAGAAATGCACTCATTACCTTGCTCATGTAACTGTAACCCCTCTGTACAGTATTTTCACAATAAAAAACTTATTTTAAAAAAAATCAGTTCCTCCTGGGAGATGTTGCAAAAATGAGGATGTGGAATTTAGTTGCCCCTTCCTGATTGAGTGGCACGGGCAGGTTGTTCAGCCTCCAGGTCTCTGTTCTATCATTTATAGAGTGGGATGATGCTTTCTCAAGGTGCCTGTTACATCACATGAGGCCTTGAAAGCGAGATCATGATGTAAATAAGCCTGAAGACATTTTCTAAGCATCATTCCTAGCTCCAGCAATCACCTGAGACACCCCTCCTGCCTGAGTGTCCATCTCCCCCTTGTGGTGGTAGCAATGTCTGAGGTCCCTGGCTGCTTCAAAGCCTGCAAATCAGAATCTCCTTGGAGGAGTGGGAGTAGACTGGCCTCCAGACCTAGTGGAACTCAGGCCAGCATGTATGCCTGCGTGTTGTCCCCCCGTCCCCCCTCAAACCTCTAAGGCAGGCTAGTACTGGCTCCAGGCCCATCCTTACATGGTTGGCTTAAGCAGTTCTTATTTTAGAACAAGCCGACTGGAGTGGAATCTTCCCAGAGTCAAGGGGAGGTAAACAAAGGAGCCTCGGGGCCTGCTAGCTGCTTCTTGTTTAAATTCAGAAGAAAACATGTTTTGCTTCCCTTGGCGTGGGCTTGGCGCCTTTAACATCTGCCCTCCTGAGGAAGGCAGCCTGGAAGTGAGGAATGATGTTTGGGAGTTAAGCTGTTCCTGGATTGCCAAAGCAAGCTGCTGAGGAGGGATCAGCCCCTGGGGACTGTGGTGAGGAGAGGGGGCTGCCCAGTCAATGACTGTGAATCATAAGCTGGAGCTTCCGGGCCTCAATGACCTGTGGGTGTAAATGCTGCGAGCCAAACTTCATCAGATGGCTCAAGCCTGTTTGTGCCAGGGAACACAGAGAAAGTCCCTAGGACCCCAGGACAAGGAGAGCTGCTCCCAGCCCAACCCTTCTGGGCCAGGACAGGGCCTCAGCTGCCTATGTGGATTATGTACTAACCGTGTAGCTGGGAGTCTAGGGTCAGACCTGGGGGCATGCTTCTCTGCAGCTCAGCAGTCCAGCCTTGAGGGAGGCTGTGGGGGAAAGTGCCTGGCCCCAATGAAGCACCATCAGTGTATGAACGTTGGCTGCTCTAATAGTAATAATCCTCCAACAGTAAATATTGTCCACATTTTCCAGACCGAAAGCAGTCCAATCAAGGACCTGTCCTCTTTTATCCTGTGTTCACCACCCTGAACCCTCCCTGACTTTCCCCTCATTCTTCTTGGAGCTGTCGGAGTGGGTAGACATCTGTAGGACTACAATAGAGCAGAGTAACCTTCTGGGGGACTGAGCCTCAAGAGACAATGGGAGGACACCCAGCTAGAGGACCATGGAAGGGCCAGAGTGGGGACAATTAGGGAGGAGAGCATAATCATGAGGACTGTGCTCGGACACTTTGTGCCAGCCTAGCGGTTTGGTCTAACATACACGGCACCTCCTTCTTGTTGCTAACGTGTAAACCAAGGTCCAGAAAGTCTTGGCTCAGCTATGCCCTTCTCCCCCAGCACTCTTTCATGCCCACCCCTGTGACCTGTAGCCTTTGTCCATGCTGACCTACTCCTACCGTGTGTCCACTTGTCCAGAGCCAATTACATATGGTCCCTCAGAGCAGATTTGCACTCTAAGGGGCCATGGGATCAAATATGGTCCTGGGATATGGTTTCCTGATCCATCTGGTTCAATGGCCAGCCAGCTCTCTGTCTCTGAGCAAATAGACTGGCTTCTGTGAGGCATGGCATGAGCCCCAAGACATAGGCTTTGGGGCAGGTACATTGAACATTCTGGAACAGACCATTCCAAGGCCCTCAGTAAGCAGCATCAAGGCTCCTCCTATTCCCTTGTCCTAGGTTAGCCTCTTCCTCAGTGGATTCTGGCTCTGTACAGGGGAACAGATAGGCTTCTGCCTCCCAGCCACACTCCAGGACAGCCATGGTTCTATCAAGGGAACCATCACCACAGTGGCCTTTCCCTGGTCTCCCAGACAGACCCAGCCATGGCAGACAAAAGGCCTATTGAGAACTAGTTTGGAAGGCAGGCCCTCAGGGTCACAGGGCAGCATTGTCACTGCAAGGCCAGCTCCCTGGAGCAATGACAGGAGCATTCCCCAGCTACTTGTCAGCAGAGCTGCTCTGAGGAGCTAGAGCATGGGAATTGGCTGTGGCCGTGTTGGGCCCCATGGAATGGAGGCAAGGAGGAAGTGAGGAAAGGCCTGAGCCTTCTCACTAGGCCTCAGCCATCTGCTGGGGAACAGTAGGGAAACCATGGTTTTGGCGGGGGGGGGGGGGGGGGGGGTGTTGCACCTGCTGCTCTGTGAACTGCTTTGTTCATCTTAACTGCCTCTCCTCCCCTCCCCTAGTGAGAACCCCCTACCCACAGTAGAAATTGCCATCCGGAACACAGGCGATGCAGACCAGTGGTGCCCACTGCTGGAGACCCTGACAGATGCTGAGATGGAGAAGAAAATTCGAGACCAGGACAGGAATACCAGGTACCCTATCCCTGTGTCCTGGCTCTTCTGCTCACGGGCATTCATTTTCCCAAATAGGACCAGAGCCATTTCCTTTCCTCAATGATCTGTAGTCTCTGGAAAGAGCCTGTGTTGCCAGAGGTAGCTCCTAGGTGGTCAGGCTTCATCTGGTCCCTCTGCCACAACCATGGTAGGGTTGAAAGTTCCTAGAGAGATGAGCAGGGCCTACAGAGCAGACTAGCAAGGCCAAGAAATAGCTAGTCAGTCCCTTCTGGTGTCAGGGGTGCCTCAGACCTGGCTGCTCTAGACAGCCCTATGGAAAGGGGGCTACCCTGTGCTGGGACTGGCCCCGGTTGACAGTCTGCTCCCATCTTCCAGGCGGATGAGGCGTCTTGCCAATACTGCCCCAGCGTGGTGACCAGCTCATTGAAGCTCAGCTCCCACAGAGATCTCAGAAGACTGGACCAGCTTTCCTTCAACTTCTGGCAAGGAGAAAAGCAAGGGGCAGCCTGTTGCCATCCTGAGGAACGGGGTGGCTCTGGGAGCATTGGTGGGGGCCTTCAGATTGTCCTTCCCTGGCACACATTCCATTTGCTGAGCCCCAGTCCTGTCCCCGCCTACCCAAACTCTCCCTTTACTGTCTCAAGTCAAAAGAGAAGCCTCTTTTTTTGGGTTGTTTTGTTTTTGTATAGGAGCCCCAGGCAGGGCTAGCTACGCTTTTTAAATAAAAGACAACAGGTTATATTTAATTTCTTCAATGTGATAGCATAAAAATGACACTGGGCACTCATGGCTCATGCCTATAATCCTTTCTACTCAGGAAGCTGAGTGAGAATCACAGCTCAAAGCCAATATGGGAAGGAAAGTTCCTGAGACTCCAATTAATCACCACCAAAAAAAAAAAAAAGCTGGGCACCGGTGGCTCATGCCTGTAATCCTAGCTACTCAGGAGGCTGAGATCTGAGGACCGCGGTTCAAAGCCATCCCAGGCAGGAAAGTCTGTGAGACTCTTATCTCCAATAAAAACCACTAGAAAACTGGAAGTGGCACTGTGGCTCAAGCGGTAGAGCACTCTCCTTGAGCTGAAGAGTGCAGGAACAGCTCTCAAGCCCAGAGTTCAAGCCCCACAACCGACCAAAAAAAGCCAAAAGCAGAGCCCTAGTGGTAGAGCACCAGCCTTGAACAAAAATGTTAAGGGACTGTGCTCAAACCCTGAGTTCAAGCCCTTGTACTGGCACACACAAAAAGAGCCAGGAGCAGGGCCTGAGGTCAGGACAGTGTCACAACAAGCATCATCCCTCTGCCTCAAATTCCCAGGCGAAGAATTCTCCCCTCTCAGCCACCCCAGCACCTTGTATAGCCCCTGGGGCAAAACCCAATCACTGCCTTGGGCCTTCCAGCGTCCCAGTGGCCACCTGTGCTCAGCAAGTCCTTGCAGAGAGGAAAAAAGTACGGCTGAGGCTCAAGGCAGGCACCTACCTACCTTTCAGTGACAGCCTAGCCCTCATCCCTTTGTTTGGCCTTAGGGAGGATCTGTAGGCTCTTCCCTGTTCCTAGGTGGCCTTGTTGTGCTGTACCCAGATGGGCTGCCATTAATCAGAGGCCTTGTTACTCTAGAGTCCCTTGCAGAGGGTTTGGTCCTATGGAGGCATGCCTGTATGTCACTAGCCTGGATGCTGGCTAAAGGACCTTGCTCCAGCTGCACACAAAACCAGAACCAGCTCATCCTTCCCACCCTCCCAGACCTGTTAGGGAATGCAGGAATGTCACACCCAGTCCAATGCTGGCTTATAGATGTTGGCAGTGTGGACAAGGAAAGGAGTCTCCTACTGGACCCTTCCAGGTTGTGCTTCTGATGAGCTTATTCTCTCGCCCTAATCTGTAATGTGGAATGTGCCCACTCTAAAGAATGGATTTTGGCTCTATGACGGTGACATGCGCGGTCTGTTCACTGAGCCAAGCACTGCTTGGTCAACTAGGTGTACATCTATGCTTACTGAGGACAGTGGTCTGGGGCCAAGGTAGAGCTGATGGTCACAGGATGTTCCCCCACACCCCTCCCCGAAGGTTGTGGCAGTTACCCTGTAAACCTGACTTCAGGTCTGACCCACACGGGCAGAGGTGGGTCTCAAAAGGAACTGGGGCTCTACGTTGACAGGACGTAGACTGCTTGACCCTCAGGTTGGAAACCACAGTGAGTGAGTTTGCAGTTGGCCCCTACCTGTCAGTGGCACTCACCAGAGGCTCACAACAAGGGGACAGCCAAGTTTTACTGGTAGATTTTAAACAAAAGGGAAGATCCCAGGTCCAGCTGGTCTTGGAAATGAGGGGGCTCCACTGTGGCTTGGTCTGTGAGGAACAAGGCAGTGAAGCTGTCACTGTTGGTGGGATGGAAGAAATACTGGCCATCCTCACCCCTCCTTGACAGTTAGGCTGGAAAGGTCCTTCCTAGACCCTGCTCACTTCTAGCCCTTTAAGAACCACCAGCCCACACAAAAGCCCAGGTTTCACTACAGAAAGAGGTCAAACTCACAGCAAACTTTTTTTTAAAAGCCATGAAAATGACATGGGTTGCTAGGGGAAATCCCTATGCTGCTGAGCATTTAACACACAGACATAGCAGTGTAGGCCTGGCCCCTTAAGGAAAGCTGGCCCCTTCTGATGCCTCTGAAAAGAAAATGGAGCTGTGAGATTGGAGAAGGCTCACCCAGGGCCTCAGCTGAAAGGCAGAGACAGACCTTCCAGAAGTCTCTGCCTCAACCAGGTACAGGCAACTTCTTGAGATTCTAGCCTGAGCAAAGAGGACCTGGTCCCCTTCTGCCGCAGCTCCCATGGGCCCTCCAGGTTTCCAGCTGGAAAATGAGGCAGTGATCCACTTTTTGAGGCTATTGATGAGAAGAGGCTAGGTGGACATCAGCCCAAAGGCACTGTACAGACAGGGCCCCTATTGAGTGGGCTGGCCCCAACCACTGAGGTTTCGCTAACCCTCTCATTGACTGACAGAGAGCAGAGGCTCAGTGCTCTATCAAGGCACTGGCAGGGTAAGTCCATCTAGTGAGCTCAGCTTGCTGAACATCTGTGGCAGATCATCTCTGAGCCTCCTGTCCTACTGCCTTCAGTAAGGCAGAGGAGGTAGGTGTAGAAGGACATGGGAGGGTGTGGCAGGCCCAGATGGGAAAGCTACTGCCTTGGGCCCAGAGGCTTCAGGTAATGGTTTATTTAGGTGTGTAGGCCTTTACATGGATTCAACCTCCTTTGATGGATTGTTCTGCTGCAGGGAAGAGGAAGGGGAAGGAGAGAGGTCTGCCAGAAACATTAAGCCGGCTTGGGTATGCTCACTGCTGCGGCGGTGGCAAATGGGTTCCTGGACGCTCCTCAGGAAGGGGCAGGTAGTTGGGGTCCTCCTCAGGGGTGTCCAGAAGCAACTTCCTGTGGGAAGGCCCCACACTGAGCTAAGGCCAGCACAAGCTCCCTATGGGGCGGGGAACCATCCAAGAGAGAAGGGAGCCTGTCATCTCTTCAGTACTCACAGGAAGTGGGGGGTCAGCAACAGCCTCTTGCCTCCAGGCTGGTTGGGGAAGACATCTTCCAGGAAGTAGTAGATGTGACCCACAGCAATCCCTATGAAAGCCAGAGGCAGCCAGAGGCTACCCTCCACAACCAGAGGAGCCCCAAGCTCCAAGCATGCATACCCCAGTGTCCTGCATAGACTGCCAGCCCAGGGTGGGACTGCCCTGAAGGTCAGGCTTAAAGAGTGCAGAGGGGGCAAGACTTGGGGGGGGGGGGAGGGTTTTTGAACATCGTGGGAGCAGAGATCACAGAACAGACACAGAGCACCCCAGCTAGGACCCACTCAGACATCTACAGGTCAACCCTGAAGGTGCAAATCTTGTGTGCCAACAGGCTTATTTGAGGGTGTATTAAGCTTATTTGGCTGGAAGGGCATCTGGAGGTGGATGACAGATCTAGCTTGGGGAGAGAGGGATCAAGGGAACCAGCAGCATGTGCTGAGAGGAGGGGCAGGCCATGGGTAGGTAGGTGGGAAGGACAGGAAGGCTCACCAAGCAGATCCACAAGGATTGAGTTGCCTAGCAGCAGTGAGATACCCAGGATTGCCCAGGGCAGGAATGGTGCCTGGAAGGTGAGGAGGCCAAAGAAATTGACCCTCACTTGAGGGCTGCGTCGGCTCCACACATAGACCAGCATGGCCATGAGGGCTTGGCCTAGGAAAAACAAGCTGCCCAGGAGTCCTAGCAGCTGGACCCAAGTTAAGGTGTCCTATGGTGCAATGCACAGCCACGTCCAGGTCCTCTGACTTACTAAGCCCCTGGAATCCTGGTTACCTTGCCCTCATAGCTCTTGTCCATGGCCCACCAAGGTGAGCCCTCCACTTGTCCGTGGACTTCAGGTTCCAAATCTGCCCTGTATACCTGTCTACCTCATTCCATGCCCCAGTCATTTTCTGTACCTGCCTGGGGTTCTCCAGGCTATGTGTATTCAGGGGTCAGTGACCCCGGTACCTCACCTGGTTATGTTCATCACCCTGTATGTTCAATACATAGCTGCTCAATACTGTCCTAAAATGGAATGAAGAGTCTGTCTCTCCTAGACCTGAGCCCTTATGTCTGGACCCAGCGCCAGGTGCCCTGGTTTGAGGTTATTAGGCTGCAAGAAGGATACAATCATAAGGACACCACCAAAGAGAAACATGAAGACAAAGTCAGCTGTGCGGCCACGGAAAGACCCCTCCTCCAGCATGCGACAGTAGCGGAACCTGCGGTGTTGGTATAGGAAGTGGCAGCCCAGTTGGGCCTCTTGTTTCCCCAATCCCAACCTGGCCAGCATGCTCCTACACTCTGGCTCTCTCCTTTCTCCCTTCTCTTTCTCTCCTCTCTCCCCCTTCTCTTTCTCTCCTCTCTCCTCTTTCTCCCTTCTCTCTCTCTGTTCTTTCTTCTCTCTTCCCCTCCTCTCTCCCTGAAGCTCAGGATACACGAAGAGCATGTTGAAGAAGAAACTGAATCCCATGGGTCCGAAGAAGAGGAAGTTGGTGAAGAGCCTCCAGACCTGCAAAGAGGTGGTGGGTGGGAGTAAGGTGAGATGCTGATGTCTAACGAACAGGTGTCAGGGGCAGGACAAGTCTCACCTGGAACTTCTGGAACACAAGGTGCGGGTTGAAGTACAGCTGGAAGGGGCTGAGGATCTCCAGCTGCTGTGGAACCAAGGACACATCAGGGTCCGTTCCTGGATCCATGCTGTGACCCTGGCAGCCCTCCCTAATCCCTCTCATTACCACCCAGGGTTGTAACCACAGCGACCCAACGTCCCCCTCCCCAATCCCCCGCACCCCGCTCACCACAGCGGCTGTGGTGAGGACACAGGCCGCGGTGTAGGCCCGGGTCACCGCTGGCACCTGCAGAAATTCGGCTGCCATCCCCTGCCACGCCATTGAACCTATTCCAGCATGCTCGGCCAGATCCCCAGCGGCTCTCTGAAGCCCTCCTTTAACCCCCGCCTTACTTTCAATTTTGACCAATCCGCACCAGAGCCACCGAGCGTCTGGTTGAAGGATGGGCCCTTGGTCCCTGCAAGCCAATAGAAAGAGGAAAAGAGAAGTACGGGGTGACAGGGGGTGAGGGAGGGCCAGTCGACTCGGCTAGCCAATGAGCAAGCCCCACGGTAAAAGCACATGGCGATTGTTGTGGCTGCGGGAGCAGCGCGGGAGAAGGAGTAGCCAATGAGCAATTGGTCTCTTCGCGGCATACTAGAGAGAGGCCAATCGCAAAGACCCACGAAACCATTACGAGGGCGGGGCTAGGATCACGCCCGCCCGGGAATGAAACCCTGAGTCAAGTACGGGTGACCCGGAAAAGGGAAAGGTGGGACTCTTGAGTCCGCGGCTGCAGATCGGAATCTTTTTGTTGTTCGTGGTGGTGGTGGTGGTCGTGGTCGTGGAGTTTGAACTCTGGTCCCTCAGCTCTTCAGCTCAAGGCTAGTGCTCCATCACTTGAGCCATAGTGCCACATCGGTTTTTTGGTGGGTTACTGAAGAGTCTCATGGACTTTCCTGCTCGGGCTGGCTTTGAACTGAGATCCTCAGATCTCAGCCTCCTGAGTAGCTATGGATACAGGCGTGAGCCATCGGCGCCCACATGGAATCTTTTTTTGGGGGGGAGGGGGAAGGGGAATGAAGAAATCCAGTTTTATTATTATAATTTGACAGGTTTCAAACACTGAAAGGATTATCATCACTCAAAAACCCATCTAGTAAAGTTTCAGGTGGCCAGTAACTTTGTCAATTAGATCTGCTGGGCCTGGCCCAATTCCCAGGACAGTTTGAGAGTCTGGTTCAATTTGAGTATGTCCAGCATCTTGGATTAAACTTACAGTCAGTCCCAGCATTTTTGCATGGGTCAGCAATTCAATCAGGGTTTCTTCATCAGGGGCTTTGACTACCACTTTGGGCTGGCCACTGTATTCCCACTTTGAGGGAATACAGTTTGAGCACTTGAGGGTTTTTCCTTTGCATTTGCTTGTAGGCAGAAACAGCAGCATGAGAGCACTAGGCAGCAACTTTCCCTTCTCTCATCTTTAAGTCAAACCACAAAAATCATTTTGTACTCTCCACTCTCTCCCATGATGCTTGCTTCAGTTCTGGTGTCTGCATCAGGCTCACTTGTTGGGAGTGTGGGTGCATCCCAAAGCGCACCCTGAGGCCCCAGCCCAGGCACAGCCACAAGCAACTCCAGCAGCCAAGCTAAGTGCACATATACTCCATAGCCAAGGATTTGGAGAGCATCTAAACAGGGCCCTCTTGGGCTGGGAAGGTGGCTCAGTGGTAGAGCACTTGCCTTGCATGCCTGAGGCCCTGGGTTCGATTCCTCAGCACCACGTAAGCAAACAAAGAAGCTGGAAGTGGCGCTGTGGCTCAAGTGGTAGAGCGCTAGTCTTGAGCTAAGGACTTAGCTGAGGGACAGGCCCAGAGTTCAGGCCCCATGACCAGACCCAAAAAGTAAAAATAAAAAAAATAAACAGGGCCCTCTTCACTCGCACCCCGCGGTCCTTCACTTTTGGGGAGTGAACATGCTTCTCGCATGCCAGCTACCACTTCCAGGGTTCCCAAAATAACTAGTTCCAGATCAAGACCCGGAATCTTCTTTCTGTACTATTGGTGGAAATATAAAATGGTATAGCCACAAAATAGTATGACCACTTTTCAAAAAGTAAAAATACAATTACCAGGGCTGGCGGTGTAGCTCAAGTGGTAGAGCATCTGCCTAGCCAGCAAGCAGAGGGTGGGCGAAGCACTGAGTTCAAACCCAAGTACCTGCAAAAAATAATTACTATTATATATATATATGATATAAATATATGACATATGATACATATCGTATGTCCCAGCAGTTTTTCTGAGTATATATCCAGAAGAAAAGAGAGCAGTGGCTGGGAATGTGGCTTAGTGGTAGAGTGCTTGCCTAGCATGTATGAAGCCCTGGGTTCCATTCCTCAGTACCACATACACAGAAAAGGCCAGAAGTGGCACTGTGGCTCAAGTGGTAGAGTGCTACCCTTGAGCAAAAGAAGCTCAGGGACAGCGCTCAGATCCTGAAATCAAGCCCCAGGACTAGGCAAAAGAAAAAGAAAAGAAGAGAGAGCAGTGACATACACCCATGCTCATGACAGTATAACAATAGATGAAAGGTAGAAGTAACTGAAGTACCCTTTGGCAGATGAACGTCAAGGTGTGGTATATCCATACAGTGGAATATTACTCAACCCTGAAGAAATGAAATTCTGACACATGCTCCAGCAGGGATGAACTTGAAGTCATTATATTAAGTGAAATTAGGCACAAAAACACAAATATAGCTGAGCACTGGAGGCTCATGTCTGTAATCCTAGCTACTCAGGAGGCTGAGATCAGAGGATCATGGTTTGAAGCCAGGCCAGATAGGAAAGCCCATAAGACTCTTATTTCCAATTAAGCACCAAAAAAATTTAGAAGTGAGCTTTGCTCAAATGGTAGAGCCTTGAGCACAAATTCTCAGGCCCTGAGTTTAAGCCCCAGTACCACACTAAAACAAAAAAGAAAAATACGATTCCACTTATATGAAAGGGAAAAGTTCTTTCAGTGTGAGGAATTTCTGTTTGGGAAAATGGAAACCTGGAAATGGATGTTGGTGATGGTCGCACAAAAATGTGTGTGTGTGTGTGTGTGTGTGTGTGTGTGTGTGTGTGTGTGTATTTAAAGCTACTGTATGTATGTATATATATATATATATATATATATATATAAAACTACTGAACTGTATGCCTTAGTATGGTTAAGCTAAAATTTACATTATGTATATTGTATTACATAGTGTAATTCATCTGTTCAGAGGTCAGTAGGGAATTTGTGAACAGAATGCAGCTGCAAGAGGAGGAGCAGAGGAGGTAAATTTGCATACACACTGAATATGACCATGAGGGAGAAGTCAAGGGTGACTCCAAGATCTGACCCAAAGCAGTGGGAGATGAAGAACAATTAATGGAAGTTTTATTCTGGGCCTCACTGATGTGTGTGTGTGTGTGTGTGTGTGTGTGTGTGTGTGTGTGTGTGTGTGTGTGTTGGTACTGGGACTTGAACTCAGGGCCTCATGTTCTTAGTTGGCTTTTTTGCTCAAGACTGGTGCTCTACTGTTTGAGCCACACCTCCACTTCCAACTCTTTGCTGTTTAATTAGAGATAAAAAGTCTCATGGATTTGCCTGTCTAGGTTGACTTCAAATCTCAATCCTCAGATCTCAACCTCTTGAGTAGCTAGGATTACACAGGTGAGCCACTGGCTCAAATGAAGCATCTATGTGACATTCACTTGGAAAAATTTGAGTGTGGCATTGGAGAAGAGGTGAGTACCAATGGTCTTCCTGTTGGTGACATTCTCCAGGAGATCCAATAGCACTTGTAGCCTGAGTCTGAGAGGGCCTCCTTAGATGGCCTTGGTTTTGTTTTGTTTTAGCAAAGCAGGCCAAGGTCATGTTTTAGGCAGGCCAGACGGGGCAGCTTCCACCAGCATAGCAGCAGTATACAGCAAGGCGGAGATGCAGGACCTCTGACGCCAGGGTGGGCGTCGGCGGGAGCCTGTGGAAGGAGAGAGGCTGGGTTTTATGTGGGTTGGGAAGGGGAGGTATTCCTTGGACAGGCACTTAGTGAGACACTGGCTACCCTGCACTCAGGGTCAGGCCAAGGCTAACAGGAGGGGTTGTCATTGTCTGCAGGACTGTCTGTCTCCCCTGTGATTGGAGGCTCTGATAAGGTGGGCGCCTGGATTGGAGGACTGAGACGCACATTCCTGGGATGCTGGGAGCCCACAGCTGGTGGGAGTGGAGGGGCACGGCTGGCCTGTCTGGAGGAAAGCCAGGCAGGACCTCTGAGGGAGCTGCAGCTGGGATCGCCTACAAATGCTCCATTCTGGGATAACTTTAGATGGGCAAACTAAGCCTGAGTGCAAGGAAGAGCAGGGCCTGGCACAGGCCTCCATCCCTAGTCCTGTTCTGTCAGATGCAGGACAGGCCATTCTGAAGACACCAGGTCCGTGTGAGAGTTATTTGTGGAGACAAGCTCTGGGCACTCCCAAGTTCTGGAGCTGGAGCTGGAGTTGGGGTTGGGGCGGGGGTAGAGATGCAGGTAGTGCTGGGTGCTGTCATCTGGGTGCCACATCTGTTCTGAGGGCTGCAGACAGGAGGAGGGCTTGGGGTTTTTGGCAAAATGGCAATGAGCTCTGCTCCTCATCCCACTTTCCTGCCCTGCAGCTACAAGCAAAGAAGGGCAGAATGTCCAGATGTGCAGACCCCCCCCCCCCCATCCCAGAGGAGCCTAGATCTCCTGTTCAGTACCTCTTGGTGCCCATAGGCAGGGTGTGCATGCCCACCATTCTGCCTTCCTCCCTGTGGCAGGTCCTTGCAGTCTTCTGTGACCATCCAGAAGCCTGGGGTCACCTTTGTGTCCCTGCCAGCTCCACATAGTACTCAATGCTCCTTCAGACTTGAACTCAGGGCCTGGGTATATCCCTTAGCATTTTTGTTCAAGTCTGGTGCTATACCAGTTGAGCCACAGCTCCACTTCCAGCTTTTGGAGATAAAGTTTTAGAAACTTTCCTGCCCAGGTTATTTTTTATCTGCAATCCTCAGAGCTCAGCCTCCTGAGTAGTTAGGATTATAAATGTGAGCCACCAGTGCCTGGATTCAGAACCTCTCCTCTGGGGTTCCCTAGTTCTCTGCACCATTCATTCATTTTCTTACTAGCAGCCTAGGGTTTGCTGTTGTTTTGTTCATCTCTTGAGATTAAATCTCACTATGTTGCTTAAACTAACCTCACACTTCTAGGTTCAGCTGGCTGCTGGTGGCTCATGTCTATAATCCTAGCTACTCAGGAGGCTGAGATCTGAAGTTCATGGTTCAAAGCCAGCCCAGGCAGGAAAGTTCCTGATAACTTTATCCCCAATTAACCACCCAAAAGCCACAAGTAGAACTATGGCTCAAGTGGTAAACCTCTAGTCTTAAGAAATAAAGCTTAAGGGGCTGGGAAG